GTGATTTGACTACGTTCGGTTTCCTCTGTCAACATTCCGAACCGCTAGACACATCAGATTGGCGAGATGACGGCAACAACACAACTGGCTAGTGCTCTAGTAGCTCGCTTTCTTCGATCTAATAATTATACAGAGACCCTGAATGTATTCATCCGAGAAGCGGGACTTCCAGCCGACGCGGGGCAACCGGATGGAAAGACCGACAACAGCGACTGGACCATCGAGGGCGTCCTTCAGGAGAAACAAGTGTTTGATGAGAGCGTAAAATTCGAGCGATACGGCAAAAGTGAAGAGAAAGACGTCTGGACGGTTCCAGGTCAGCCAAAAATCGTACCCTCTCTGACTTGCAGCCTCGATGTTGCGGAGATATTTATGTTTACTGACATGGCCCAGCACCCTCAACACCAAATGTCATCCAAACACCAACCTCTGCCAATATCCTAGTATGTTCGGTAGAGCCCTGGCAGAATCCTAGCCAGAAGGAAAATCAAGATGACTCGTCACGCTACATCGTCGCCACGGGCGCAGATAGACAAGTGCACCTTTTCAAGACAGACGAAGGCAACGACGTCGTCACGTCGTTTACGGGACACTCTGACTCCCCGGTGCTATCATACGCGCCTATCCAAAATGGCACATACGTCCTTATGACCAATATGTCGGGCCAGCTTCTTCTCCAACGGGGTGCCGAGATTCTGTCACGTCGGAAAGATCATGCCAAGTATGCAATCAAGGTGATCGCATATGAAGAAGACGAACAGTCAGGCGGAACTACGTCCGACGTCGTATGGGTCGCTACCGCTGGCTGGGACTCCAAGGTCTTAATCTACCGTCTCCGTATCTCCAGCAGAGCAGGAGGTCCTGACACCGCGGAGCTGAACGAGCCCATCGCCCACATCAACCTGCTCACCAACCCAGAATCGATCCTCTTCGTCCGCCATCCAGATACTCACGAACTCGTCCTGCTTGCCTCGCGCCGCGACTCAACCTACCTCTTCTACTACGCCGTCCCGTCCTCGACGTCTACCGAGACACCCACCGAGTGCAAGCTGCTCGGCAAACAGAACCTAGCCCCTCACTCCAACGCCTGGGTCGCGTTCTCTCCCTCATGCCTTGCTCTGAGCCCGCACGATCCCGGCCTCATAGCCGTCGCCGCCTCGACCCTCCCGCACATGAAAGTCATCATTGTGCGCCTGCTATTCCCGAAGGAGGAGCAGGAATCGTCGGCCCCTCCGCCCATGGGCAGTACGTCCGCGGAGCCAGAGACACAGGCCACACAGGCCTTTGCGGCCCTTGCGCTCCAGAACCGCGAGGATGCCGCCATCATGATCCAGGCCAATACGTTTGCGCCGCAGACGGTCTACTCCACTCCGCAGGTGGTTTGGCGGCCTGATGGGTCGGGAGTGTGGGTGAATGGGGATGATGGGGTGATTCGCGGAGTGGAGACTATGACGGGGAAGGTGACGGCGATGTTGAAAGATGGGCATCAGGTTGGGTCGAAGGTACGGGCTATCTGGGCTGGTTGGGTTGAGGTGCAGCGGGATGGCAAGGTGGTGAAGGAGGAGTGGCTTGTTAGTGGTGGGTTTGATAAGAGGCTTATTGTTTGGAGGGTGTAGATCTGCTTGCCTCGATGAGGTCTTGAAGCAGGTCCTTTTCCAAATGGAAGACATGAAGCTCATAACCACATTTAACGTAAAGGAAATTGGAACAAATTGATATTCAGAACTATCTGGCTTACGGGTATGTTGCCCTCCATCCATGCACCCTCTCGCCACGGGAGAGAAAGGGAAAGGGTGTTTGGTAATAGGAGGGCATGGGATCTCTTCTCGGCACGTTGAAAAATCCTTCAGCAACCGCGCATGGGAAAGACACGAAGCTGTACACACATATGCCTGAACGGACGGGATGACGAATATAGTCCCGACGCAGAAAAAAGCAAAGACAGACTGAAGCAAGTTGGCACAAACACATGCCCAATCGCAGAAACAAGATCATGCTCCAGGCACTCATGATGGCCAAGTCGTGGAATCGAATCCATTTTTGTGTTATTTAACAAGCCGTCGCGCGAAAACCCAGCCAGGCTCTTCCGACATGACGCTCTGTATCATCGCACGTTAAACCAACTCAAATCGCTTCCCATTTAATATCGATGAATCAATTTATGCGACCTCCCGCTTGCCCTCCTTGCGCTCCTTCTGTAGGAAAGTTAGCCATGCCCTCCGACATCCAGCTGCTTCCGACTAAGCAGCAGCAAAGTCAACGTACCAGAGCCTTCATGGTGCCGTGAAGGGCGTGTCTGTGGTTGCGGCGGAACTTGGGGTCAACACCCTTGAGGGAAGGGTAACGGTGAGTCTTAGGCTTCTTGATACTGTTGGAATCAAACGGTAAATATCAGCGACCTGTCTTTCCCTTCTTCAAAATGTGGTTGGTGGATATGTTGCAAGCTGGTCGCGAGTCGTTCAGGACCAGTTCGGTGATGTCAAAACCATCACTGCAACGAAATCCTTCCATCCCAACCAACATATTTCGATTCAAATTGCTGAGGACTGTACGAACCCGTTACGGTGAGCCTTCTGGCTGCGGTGGTGCTGAGACGCGTTCTTGGACTCTGTTCAAGTGAAAATAACCGTCAGCGACTTCCGTAGAATCCGGGGACATTGTGCTGGCATAGAATCGATTCGAGAATTCCAAAATGCCGGGGTTCAGGTAACGTACTGGCCATCTTGACGGGATGTGTCGCAACAAGAAACGGGTTGACGATGAGTTGGCGGATTGAAGATGTCCTTGAACTGAGCAAAAGGCTAGAGACCCCCCCAAAGATTCCGGCTAGGGTTCTGCTGGGAAAGATTTGTGTGGGATTTCGCTTACTGCTCCAGCGGCTAGCGTCATTGGTTCATTCCGTCCGGCCAACTGCGGCAGCGCCAAATATCTACCTTATGTTCACAACAACACTTGCTGCCGGTACTATCGGGTTGCCCCTCTACCTTTTTTGAGACTACTTGTCTGTATGTCTTTGATTTTGACACTTTTAGGGAGCAACTTATCGATTCTCAAGATGGAGTACTAGTACCTCGTAAGACCGGTTGTGAAATGTGAACAATGTCCCGTGACCTGATTACTAAGTCGAATCCCAATATCGCTTGGCATGGTGATGCCAGACATCGCTTGCTTGCTTGATCCAGGAGGGTGGTAGGGCGAGCCATCAATAGTTCGGGTGCTCAACAAGCTACGAGCGCGAAATACATTAATATAGGGTGGGATATCTGTTACAAAGGCTAAAGACACTGTGTAGCCCATTGTATCACGTGACTTCACGTTGTGGTGCTTGAAACATCCACGTTGAAATGTAGTCTACTGAGTACCGTTTCCAGAATCAATGTGTTCATCATTAGAGCAAATGCCACTGATATTCCTTTTGAGGGTATCTGCCGGCGGCCCTTAGAATGAAACTGCTGACCGAGATGTACGAAAGCTTAGCAGTCGATGTAGTCGCAATGTGTGATGGAGTCCCTAGTAACAGGCGAGGGACATTGGCCTTTCAGAATAGAGGAAACACGGAAACTTTCATTTATCGCCAATGGATAAATAAGACACTGTATATAACAAACGATCTCGGTTTGTTCAGTTAGGTGAGCGAAGATGGGTGTTGAATGCTTGGAATATTTGCGGATGTCGACTCTATCACGTGATGCGAAGAGCCGCTAGGGAACAACCGGCAGTCGGACTTCGACCTTTGCAACTTTGACCCAGGTTCAAGAGGGATACCATCACCACGTTCTCCCTTCCATCCATTGCAAGATGAGCTCTCTTCGCTTCGCTCGCTCTGCTCTCAGGGCTCGTCCCTCTGCTCTCCGCGTTCCTCTCCAGCGCAGAGGTTACGCTGAGGCTGTGTCGGACAAGATCAAGCTTTCTCTGGCCCTTCCTCACCAGGTACGATCCGAGATGACTGAACACACCCTTTTCGTCTTATAGGTTGGGAACTGACATAGGGATCTTGGAACAGACTATCTTCAAGTCGGCCGGCGTGTACGTGACGACCAACTCCCCTCTCATCGACAACCGACAATTCTGAACATGACTTGATTGCATACTGACGACCGCCCCCTACAGTGTCCAGGTCAACATCCCCGCTGAGTCCGGAGAAATGGGTGTCCTCGCCAACCACGTTCCCTCCATTGAGCAGCTGAAGCCCGGTCTCGTTGAGATCGTTGAGGAGGGTGGTGCCAACAAGAAGTTCTTCCGTACGTCCGGACAACCCAGCTGAGCTTTGCGCTGCGATATCGTGGGACCACGAAGATGTTCCATTGCTTTTCTATAGCATCGCACTAACGAGTCTGCGTTCTTCAGTCTCTGGTGGCTTCGCCGTCGTTCAGCCTGACTCTGCTCTGAGCATCAATGCCGTGGAGGCATACCCCCTGGAGGACTTCAGCGCCGATGTAAGTTGTGGAAACAAAGAAAATGTCATGGTATACTTTTCTGACCCAATCTTTCAATTACAGGCCGTCAAGTCCCAGATCGCCGAGGTCCAGAAGATTGCCAATGGTAGTGGCAGCGAGCAGGATATTGCTGAGGCTAAGATTGAGCTCGAGGTAGGTCAACCACGGACTCATTAGCACGAGCCTATACTCACTCAATTACTAACGTTGTCACAGGTTCTGGAGACCCTGCAAGCCGTCCTGAAATAGATACCTGATGTACATAACCACTCGCGATTGCAATTCTGAACTTGTAGAATTATAACAATTCTCCGGCAAGGTTCTTTCAATAATAATTGCACCTTACCATACCATGTGCCCTACCCTGTGAATCAGTCGTTGTGTGGACTGGATCATGCCTTCCCGAAGTGGATTCGCAACCTATCTAACTTCCTTACTTGACCCGCAATCTTGTTATTCTTCAAGTTCTCCCTCGATTCATTATAACTAATTGACAAGCTTCGCAGATCTTTTTTCCTGCCGTTGCCCATTTTCAGGTACCTGCAATTACCTACAATAGTCGAAATGGACCGTATAACATCGCACCGACAGTTCAGACCTTCACATGCATCCCAGTTCGCGCTGGAGGAACATCTGCAAGAGAATGCACCGGTCACTCCTTCAAAATCTCCGAACAAGACGAGACTCACCGAATCAGAAGACGACAATTGCAGTTTGTTTGGCGAGTATTCTAGCAGTTTAGATCTGTCTCCTGTGCGCGAACTCGATGGAGTCCGGAATGACCGAAATACGAACGTCAAGTCTACTATTCCAACAGTACCCTTCAGTCGGCAGCTTGATACGCACTTCATCTTTAACGAAACCTTGCCTACAAATCCAACTAATAGTCCGGCGTCCGAAAGCGAACAGGCAAAGCACCTTTCGTCTGCACACCTGTACCGCGAAAGAAACAGAAAAAGTGCGCTCTCATCGCATCAGAGTAACATCACCTCGATCACCTGCAGCTCAGAGAACATCCGAGCTCGCCTCTTGACCAATGAAGATGAGAGTAATTGGAGACCACCAAGGCCACCGAAGCCTCCTTTCCTCTCTGATGCTGCGGTAGAGGATTTCAAGCTCTCTGGCCAAGCACAACAACGAGCAAGTACAATCTCACCGGAGCGCAAGCATCCCACGCCATCACAACACGCAATTCTTCCCCAGCCCTCAAGATGGCCTCAACCACATTCTCGCTTTGTGGAATATCTCCCTTCGGAAGAGAAAGTTGCCTCGTTTGTGCAAAGAGATACATGGATCGATTCGAGCCCACAGAAGCCTCATGATCAGCGGAGAGTTGCCCATCGCGGTGTTGAGAATGCGTATCGTGTTCTGTTAGGCGATCCGGACAAGCCATTTCCAGCTCCAATACCCACCAGCGACAGATTACCATTGCTTCGGGCTATACTTTCTCCAAAGTCCCGAATCGCATTCTTGAGGTCACTCAGCACCGATTATGGAGCCTCGTCTAGCAGACCGACAGAGGACACATTTCTGAAGCATTTAGCCGGTTTGCTGTCGCGTCCCTCGAGATTGGTTCCCCACTGGCAGAAGCTGCGCAGTTCTTCTCCGATAACATTGACCCTATACCAGCCTCTACACAACTCGCAGTGCTCCTCGCTAGTACAAGTTTCATACATGGTGCATGTGGAAACTGTTCTATCCGCCTACCGGAAACGTGCTGCAGATTCGGAACAGGATGTACCCTCTCCCAATACTTCAATGGATGGGTATACACGTCTTTTCGAATTGCGTCTCTCCGTGCCGACCTTATGCTTTGAGATCGTCCGGCCATTCATCGTTGGTATGCGGCATCCAGTCTTAGTGACCATTGCATCGATGTTCGTCTGTGTCTTTGCGATCGTCCTACGATTCCTTGCTGGTATGGGTTTTCGGAGTCTGTCCAGCCTTCATGAACACCGCCCTTATTTGGATGAGGAAGATCCGGAGTCCGCTGCACTCCAAAAGTGAGGGCTGATACTTGCAATATCAGCTTCCGGGAGCTCCATGAGTGTATACCTACTTGTAATAGTGTTATGGCTGGTGTCTTTTTGATTCGAGAGGGTGCTCCGTTCTGGCCTATGCGTGTACAATCTGCAGTGCGCTTGATTATCGTCACGTGTGACTGCAATGGTCAGACAGGAATTCACCTTATTAATTGCTTTTGTTATCCTAACTAGGTAGTAATCGCGTGAAATGAGAGATCCCTGAGAGAAGACACAGAAATCCAAAGAAGATTGGACCGCATATAGAAGGACAAACATGAGGACATCGCAATCGTAAGACAATTTAGATACATTACAATTTGATAGACAACCTAAAATGGAGAAAAGAAATCATCACAGAATCGTGTATCATCACTCGCCCTTGACCAGCTCCTTGAGTCTCCTTTCCAGAATCTGTCGACCTTCAGTGTTTCTCCACACCTCATGAGGCGCACCCTTGACGATATCCCAATGCTTCAAGTTCTTCGTAATCTTGGTCAGATCCTCCTGTGTTTTGGCCCACTTGTTGCTCCTGTGGACCTCGATCCCGGAGCTTACGACGACAAGTGGTGTATCGGGCATCTGCACATGGCGCGCCGTCTGGATCTCGGAGGCAGTCATTGACTCGGCGACGAGGTTCTCCTGCAACTTGGCCTTGATGAACTTGTCCGTCTGGTACGCACTACGGCCGTAGACGCGGTCTTGGCGCGTGCGGCCCTTGAACATGGCGCCGAAGATGCGGTCCAGGCCTAGCGGGGAGAGGACCCCGCGGAGCCAGAGCAGGAAGCCGCGGCCGGCGTTGCCCACTTTGCCGAGGTAGTCCTCGTGCATGGCGTCGATCAGCATGATGCCCTCTGTTTCGAGGAGGTGGCGGCTGGAGAAGATGCGGCTGTAGATTGAGCCGATGCCGGAGGAGACCAGGATCCAGGGTCCTTCCTCGCCGGCGAGAGCGAGGGCTTCGGAAAGAGCATCGGCTGCCATGCCGGCGGAGTGTGGGGAGGGGGCATTGTCGGACCAGGCGTATCCTGGTCGGTCCCAGTAGCAGTAGCGGTCGATGAGGCCTTGTTTGTAGATGTTGTCGATGAAGGGTTGCAGGGAGTGCTCGACTGGGCCTTCGCCGCCTTCGAGGAGGACGGTGGGTGGTGTCTTTCCGTTGCCATCGGTGGTGCCGTTCATGCGACCAACACAGGCGAGGTGGACTTGGTACTTCTCGCCGTTGACGAGGTACTTTTGTCCCGGGGCGTGGAGGGAGGCATCGCGGGCGCGGATGATCAGGGTTGCAGTGAAGAGGATCGAGACTATCGCGAACACAACCATGAAGATTGTTTCAATCAGCACGGCGATCCATTCCCGGAGCGACCGCCGGGTTTCCTCTCGTCCGGTAAGGCGCTCCTCTTCCTCCCTCTTGCCCCAGGCAACGGCCCGGTTTTGGAGGACGTTGAAAATGGATATCAGGGTGGCCCAGACGACCGAGGCAATACCAACCCAGCCCTCTTCGACGCGCAGCTGAGGTACACCGAGGATAATGCACATATCTACAAAGAGGAAGACGGCCAGCACTATGCCGGATATCGTCATGGCCTTTGACGGGATTGTAAAGAAGAGCAGCGCGATAACGAGGTAGCAGACGGTGAGTGTGGTATACGCGAAGCTAAAAAAGCCAGAGCCACGGCTGTGCATCATCGGAGGGCTGACGAAGATGGAGACGAGCAGGAAGGTCCACCAGACGAAACTGAGGGCGAGACAGAAAGAGGACAAGGCTCTGAGAGCCCTGACACTCCACAGATTGTAGGGGGATACCTGATAGTAAAAGTTGTTAGAGAAACACGAACGCAGGAGGTTTGTTATCAACATGCGCCACTTACTGCAGGATCATCCGGACTCAGATACCCTTGGTTTTCTCTCGGTAAAAGTCGTGTCCGTTCATCTGCTTCCTGATATTGTCCTCTGGATCTATCATCTCCATCACGGCCTTGCTCCTCTCGCTCCGAGTTATCGTTCGAGCGCCACAGTGAAACCATTGTCCTCTGCGCGGTCTATGTCATAGGTAGGAGTTCGGTAATAGATGACAGTGGAGTCGTTATAACTCTTCTTTCGGAAATACCACGCAAATAATAAATTAATTAGACTTGACTAGGAAGAGATAGATGGACTATGGACAATAAAGAATTGAGATAGAGAGGTACATCTCTAATGATAGCAAGGTAGATCATGGAATTTCTGGAGTTGACGTCATGACGAACGCAGCCAGACAGCGGCTCATTATCAAGCCGAGCATGTAATACCGAACGTCTGGCAGTAGATAAGCTCATGTTTGTCGCCGGAAATGGAGCTGGGTGTCCAGCTGATCATCGGGATCTCCCCTCCTCAGACCGTCCCAGAGTCACCGGTAGATAGACGCTTTCATTGATGATCCATTGCTGCAGCTCCCGCAGATCCCTAAATTGCAGACGCAGTGAGGTCATCGACGATCCTGTAATCACGTGATACTCAATTACTCATCACTCATCACAATCGAAGTACCTGAGGCGACGATGGAGGTATCATGTTCTGATCTGACCGGCCTACTCAGTTGCTGTTGACCTAGATCTCCACAGCTTCTGTTGGCAGTTCTTTGTATATATATCTCGCGTTTTAGGGCAACTACTGACCCATCTAGCATGAGCGACTTCGACATCTGGCCAGGTAATAAGCCTCTTGAAGGCCTTCCCATGTCGCACAGCCATATCAAATGTTTTCCATCAGCCAGTATACATACACCATTCCAGACCAGGAGGTGATCGTCAGGCTTGAAGACAGTATTCCACCCCGCCATCGATATTCTCATAGCGCCTTTTCCTGTATAATCAGTTGAGGTTGCGTTTTGTTCCATATTATTCCATCATGTCTTTCCAGCTGTATGATGGAGGGAGCAAGTTCTGAGTTTCCCCGAGGCGACAGTCTGTGGCCTGGTGTTGTTCTACGCGGATGGACCCGAGTGGCCCGGCTTCGAGCGCAGATCGAGACGGCCATCTATCCACGGGTTGCATTGTAAAGCGCTGCTCATGGATGAAGCCGCCATTGCGAAGTTTACCCTGCACTGGGTGGCAGTTGGTGAGATCAACGTGGATGAACTTCGGAGTAGGTTTCCAGACGATGCGCGACAACAGCGAGATGCCGACGGGTCTGCGATCAGATTGCTTCCTCTATGGGGATGAGAAGTCTTTGCAATCGCGCGACGAGGCCAGATCGTACGTCTGGTTGGCCGAGCCGGAGGAGACGGCGGAGCCACTCAAGGTGCATATCAAGCACATCGCACCGAGGCTCTTTGTGCGCCTCACACAGCGCGATCTTTCAGGCGAGGCAAAACGGCGACCATATCGCCATGCCTCGGAGCTGGGGTTGTTGCGTCAGGCGGCGCGTCACTCGCGAAATGCAGAGGGAGAGCCGGATGGGATTTGGCCGCCTCTGGCTCGATATATGTGATTATCTTACTTTCTACTTTGGCAGTAGAAATAGTGGGACAATGGTGCACCAACTGCAGGCTTGCCATTTCGACGGCTATCCAGATCTATATACTCTACTGCGCGTTGTGACGTATACACCAGCGCAAACATATAATCTGGCCACAATCCCTCGTAATTACTCCTCACAGCCGGATTGTACGAGTAGAACTGATTGGAGTATGAATAGCTGTATTATCGTACTGGGCAAGATAAAAGCACTACGCCCGATGACCGTTCGCTGCGTGAATGCGATGGTGTTAATCTATAGTTAGCAGCGAACGGTGCTTACTCACCCGCCCGCTCGGGGCGGTACTGCCCACCTAAAACAAGACAGTAACACATTTATCAACATTTGCAAGTCTACGATGCTTCGATAATAAGATAAAATCCAATCAACGATATAAACCATCCTTGTAGATGCCAATCCTTTCTCCCCCTACCCGATATATCTAGTCCAGTTTCAAAACACCCTGTTCAGGTTGGCCTTTACCCCACGTTACCACAACGCCATCTCGGAATAGATGGTCAAATGAACTTCACTCCCTAGTCAACGAATCTGCTCTGACAGCGATATAGAGGCATATATATATTCAGACCATAGCCATAGATATCAACCGCCCATGAGCGATCTTCACAAAGCTTTTGCCAAATCAAAGCTGGCCAAGTTGCCGCCCGAGGCCCCTCTTCTGTCCGAGTCTTCGTCAATGAACCACCCCGCTGAAAGCAGTCACGATGAGGACTCCTCTTCAGTCTCGTCAGCAGGGACTGTTATTCCCTCGCCGAGCAGACAGCTGTTTGCCAGAGCCAGCCAGGGGTACGTTAGCACGGTCGTACCGCAGGTGCATATGCATACCGCATGCATTCACCAGCCAACCCCACAAGATTCCATGAGAACGTTGTGAGAATCCCGCTAATGACATACAGATCATCCGACTCGTCCTCACTGAGCTGGTCAGACTTTTTTGCTCAAGAGCTCTTTCTAACCCGCGAAACCGACACTCTCCGCATCATCCACCATGTCTATCTCACGCCACCCACCGACTCAGGTCCACTCTTCGTCATGCACCACGGAGCCGGCTCATCAGGTCTCTCATTTGCAACCTGCGCAGAAGAAATCCGCAAGATCCTCCCCAAAGCCGGGATCCTGTCGCTAGACGCACGCGACCACGGCCGCACGTCAGTGCAAAGAGCTGATGGAGGGGCCGCCGAACTAGATCTCAGCCTCGAGACGCTCAACCAAGACCTGGTTTACGTGGTCCGCAAGACGCAGGCGGAAATGGGCTGGGAGGAGCTTCCCGACCTGGTTCTTGTGGGGCATAGTCTTGGGGGAGCGGTGATCACTGACGTTGCGAAAAAGGGAGAGCTCGGCAACAAATTACTGGCTTATGCGGTGCTGGATGTTGTCGAGGGTATGTATATGGTGCCCCTATCTATTTCGAGGCTTTGTCCTGACGATAAATGACGCAGGGTCGGCCATGGATGCCCTCCAAAGCATGGAGAAATATCTCTCCACTCGCCCTTCTAGATTCCCCTCGTTGACGTCGGGTATTGAGTGGCAGTATGTCCACTACCTCTCCCTCTACATCACCGAAAGAAATGTCGACTAGAAGCAAAGCTAATCCATGGCCGCAGCACACGATCTCGAACAATCCGAAATAGAACCTCCGCCAGAGTCTCCGTTCCATCCCTCCTATACCAGGAAGAATCGCCCTCAGACCCCTCCAAACCATGGGTCTGGCGGACCAACCTCTCCGCCACGAAGCCCTTCTGGGAAGACTGGTTCATCGGCCTCAGTCGGAAATTCCTAGAGGCGCGCGGCGGCAAACTCCTCCTGTTAGCCGGGACAGACAGGCTGGATAAGGAGTTGATGATCGGGCAGATGCAAGGTTTGTTTTAGCCTTCTAGCTGTTGGCCGTGTTCTACAGCTGAGATGTACGTTTCTACAGGAAAATATCAACTCCAGGTCCTCCCTGAAGCGGGCCATTTCGTTCAGGAGGATATGCCGGCGAAGACGGCGCAGATCTTGGTGGACTTCTACAAGCGAAATGATCGGAGCGCGCTGGTGCTTCCGCCAAAGGTGGCTGATATGCAGGCTTCCGCTGCCATGCAGAAGGGGGCAGGTGCCGGTGCTTCGTTTAGTGCTTTGCATGGTGGTGATGGCACGCGACATCTGCAGAAGCCGTAGACTAGTAGCGCCAATTTAACCGGCTTCCCGATAAAGAGGGATTGCTATGCTATAGAGCCACAAGCACGATCTGATTAAATCATTACTGGACAGAAGAAAGCCAGGGCCTTTCTTTGTACTATTGCCAATTTAACACCGATGCCTCCCCCCACGACGCCGCCGAATATCAAGCCACCAAGGCCCCCATGATGGTCCAGTGAACAATAGGAAATGCAAGGGAAGACAGATTAAAATACAATACGGGTATCTGGCGCCACTTTTGCAACGTAACGAAATCACAATTTCTCGTCAAGGAAGATAGGCCCCGCCGGCAATGATCAGATTCATGTTGGTGAACTTGACTTTGTAGACCGGACTCTTCTTTGTCGGGAAGGCGCTGATCTGGTCAGGCGTGACGACGACATCCTTTCCTTTCTTCTTGCCCATTCCCGGAGCAACCGAGGTCGAGGGTTGCGTGGAAGCGGCCGAGGGGTTGCCGGCATCGACCTTTGTGCCTGCTCCGCCGTCTCCAACTACACGACCCTGGGATGGATCTTGGGCTGGGCCGGTGACATCCCACACACGGACAGTGCCGTCGGCACCGCCAGAAACCAGGACAGTCGATTCAACGCTCCAGCTAAGGGACCAGATACCTCCTTTTCCATGACCGCGCATGCGCTTCAACAATCTTCCCGGTGCCAGGTCCCACAAGAGGATGGATCCTTGATCGTCTGCGGATGCAAGAAGTTTGCCGTCTCTGCTGCAGGCCAAGGCCGTAATATTGCCGGTGTGACCAGTGAACATACGCACAGCGTTACCGGTGGTGACCGCCCACATACGGACCGTATGATCGGAGCTGCCAGTAAAGACGTAGGCAGAATTCGGGTGGAAGCAGACGCAGTCCACGTCCTGGTCATGGCCAACGAAAATGCGCTGCTGACGAATGTGGTCTGTAACCCAGAGACGAGCGGTCTTATCATGTCCGCCAGAAACAAAGTAGTGGCCGAAAGGGCCCCATTGAAGATCCCAAACAGGCTGATCATGGCCCTTGTACACGACCATGCACTGCCATAGATCAAGAGACCAGAGTCGGATGGTCTTGTCTGCAGACGAGGAGAGTAGCCAACGAGCGTTGGTCGGCGCAACAGCGCCCTCTGAGCGTGTGGCAGAAGGTGCAAATGCGACTGCATAAACCGGACCAGAGTGTCCAATCAGACGACGCGAGTTCGACGGAGGCGCATCATCCACGTTGTCGTAGGTTGTTTGGATTTTCTTGCCATCCATGCTCCAAACACGAATATACGACTCCTGCATACCAGCTGCAACGAGCATATTATCGTCGGAGAAATCCAGGCAATTAATTCTATCACTCCATTAATAAGATTTCCAGTCAAAGAAAACGGTCATTACTCACCCGTCATAAGTGTTGTGGAATGTGAACATGCAAACACTGACTGCAGGACCAACACCTCCTGTCCGGCCCTCGATCCTGAACCGATCACGATTCTCTTTCACCTTCTGAACTTCCAGAGCCACATCGCGAGCAGTCGAGGGAGGATACGGAATATCGGCACGACTGGGCGCTTCATCGTCTTCTTCCTTTTTGATCATCTGGTCAAACTCCTGCACAAGACTGTTGTGGCCAGGTGCCGGGGGGTTCTTCATGTCTTCGTCTGCTAATTCGCCTCGTACGTCGGTCTCAAGCGTAGATTCCATAGGAAGCTTGCCCAGTCGGAGCCGGGGTAATGTTCCAGCCATTGCCGGATTATCGCCGGTGTAGGCCGATCCAGGGTGGTGACCGGGAATACCTTCATCTTCAGCGGGAAATGTCTGCCCTGCTCCAGCTTGGCCTAACATAGCAGCGAAGCTGAAACGATCGTCGGACGCACGCTCTTTGGTAATGATTGTACAGTAGCTGCTCAGAATAGCGGACATAACAGAGCCTCCCTCTTTCGACTTGTTTTCGAGAAACTGCATAAGGTTCGAAAATGCCGGGTTGCTGAGTACTAAGCGATACTTGTTATTGCGGTAGAGTTTGGCCGTGGCGTTGTCCTGAACATGCTCAGGAAGACTGATGGGCTCCAGTTTACGGACATCGTCTGTGTGCTCAGGGAGGAACAAGTTCTTGTTTATATCAAAGAACTGCTTGGCCTCTTGCGGATAGAATGATGTAACCATGTTGAGAAAAGAATAGACAAAGAGCGGCCACAGAACGCGCCTAAGTTCGGGCTGTCCAAAAGTAAGCATTGCGCAAGTTAATAATGAGAAATTAGCTTACCTTGTACAGATCTAGATTGTCTTCAACCCAGACTTTCAGTATATCTAGATGCATGCGGCATTAGCATTTGACTAATGATATACTATGTAGGGATACTCACCGAACCCCATCCTATACTTGGGACGCGCATCCTCGCCAAGAGGAGGCAAAGGACGGCCATCGATTTCTTGGTTAGCTGATTCCATGCGTAGCATAGCTTCAGTACGGCTGTATCCTTTCTTGGCCAGGTAATCGATGACCTAGATAGGATTAGCAACACAGTAAAGAAAAAGTCTATACATGATGTAAAGCAAGCCATGAAACGAACACTGAATCATTACAGACTTCGTCCTCAAGGCACATAAAACGCTGCAGCCGTGTCTCAAGACAAACATAAGGCTTGTTCAAGCGCAACATAGCCAAAACAAGCCGCTTAATAATGACGAAAAAACACCAACACATAAGAGATACTCTGCGCGAAACCCACGAAACTCATGCACCAAAATCTTCAACACTTACTATTTGATTCAGATTCTGCTGCGACATCGCACCACTCGGCGGTGGCGGTGGGGGACCCGGCGTAGGGGCTCCAACTGGAGTGGTATTTCCCATGGGCTGCTGGGGAGGCATAGACATACCACCACCACCGGGGCCGATGCTTGCACTTCGAGGTGCAGGGCTCGGAGCCCCGCCTGGCGCAGACATGGCGCGACGCTAGATGTCTAGATACTGACGGCCGCGTCTTTTTTTAGCTTCGCTGCGTTCTGAAGGAAACGCGAAGATAAGATGCAAAAGTGACTTGAATTCGGATGGTTCATTAAATCGGGAGGCTTGCGAAGTCACGTTTCTGATATTGAGCTAGGACTGCCTGGGGTTAGCGCTGCGGGATAGCTTAGGTAATCAAATTTGTCGCTGTTCGGCATCACAGCACGTGATGACATAGCTCAGGTTACTCTTACTTTGACCTTATCTTCAACTGGGTTTCACTGAGATAGATTTTCGGGTGGAATCCCTCGAATGTCAAAGAGATGGCTGAGGGCAGCAGCTCTGCACAACCAGATCAAGTGTTTACTTCAGCGGACCGGATCCGGCAGTTGAACGAGGTGGACAAGGTAAGGAGGTAGCTCGGCGCGACTCTCAGGGGAGACACAAACGAACATTACGCAGCCGTCACAGAACTTCTCTGAGCTAGCTGACACTGATCGCGCGTAGGATGTTGCAAAACTAATTCACTCCGCCGGTCTCGCGATCCAAGCCCTCACAAACGCCAGAACGGGCGACTCCCCCGAGGACACTTCCCTCGAGTCGCATAAAACGCGGTTTAAAGAGGCTACGTCGCAGTACTTCGCGCTTCTTTCCTCCATCGATGTCAGATTACGTCGCCAGGTATACGCTCTGGAGGAAGCTGCTATCCTAGCGCCGGAATCGGCCTCGAGGACTGGTGATCTACCTGGTGCTGGCGGAGGAGGGGCAACGGGTGTTTCAAACCCGTTGGACGTCAGCTGGCTGAATAGCAGGAAGGACACCGTAGGGAAGGATAAGGAAGCTGAGCTATGGGCAGCAGCGAGGCAGTTTGTGGAACAACTTGGCGATTCCTCAGCTGCGAGGGTGAAGACGGAAGGAGGACATGAGATGGAGGTCGATTGAGAGGCCCTAAATATTTCGAAGTGCCAGCCAATGCTCAGCCTATCTCAGCACGCTGAAGCTTTTTGGCTCTACAAGTCAAACTACATATTATTGGGCCCACTAGGAGTGCTATATGATACCCACACATTGAATCGAAGCAGTTATCAGTTCCCGGATGCTTTAGTGAACGAGTTTGTTCGGCGAAGGTTGAAAAGAAACGAGACCTATTTACTTTCGCCTTTCTCAGAATGTACCCTCCTTGACGAGTATGACAGAAGCTTTGATGATGCGAAATGAGGAGTAAGAACATAGGCATGCTCATGATAACACGACAAGCACAGATGCCAGTCCGCAGAACTTAGAGAGCAATGGCTGGTTGATGCACTACCGCTGCATGGACCTAATCATCTCCAGGTGTGCAGCCTTCTCTTTATTGGATTCCGAAAGCGGCGCGAGGCCTGTATTCCTTGTCAGCATCCATTCCCTTGGTCCTACCCTGACGAGAGAAGCGGCTTACTTCGAAGTTCACCCACCACATCCTTGGCCTTGCCAAAGTAGACCTCCTCTGCCGTCGCAAGTCAGATTAGCATGTGACGTGTCAAGACAGAACAACTCTTCACAGATGTGACACATACGCAATAGGTTCCGCATCTTCAACTCCATATCCTCAACGAGCCTACCCACATTGGCGACATGGCTCGCATCCGACTCTACAGGGAGATCAACCTCCATCTGCCGGGTCATATTGCCGCTGAGATCCATCTCGCCGAGGGCATCATTCTCGTTCGCCAAGTGAAGAATCACCGTGCTCGTGAGCTTGTAATGAGACATGCGCGCCCTGTCAGTCGCCTCGAAGACATGAATGCTGTCCCATTCTCCTGAGCTCTTCGCTCCGGGTGTAACACCTGTCCGCAATACCCATTAGCCAAGCCCATATTTCACCCTTCGTCAAGTAACAAGCCCACCTTTCTTCAAGAGGATAACACCCGCAAACCCGTCATCCAAATCCCAAAAGTAAACGCTGCCCACGCCACCCTCATAGTACAGCTCCCGATACACATCAAAGGCCTCGTTAGCCGCAACCTCGAGCTTCCTCACCCGCTCGCTGGGGACCGTCCCGTCCTCCAGTGGTGGATCGAACTCATTGCTCCAGGGCGAGCGGTAGCTGTCCCCGTCCCGGTTGTAATCGCAGAGCAGGTAATCGCGGTTCGTCTTCGGGCAGCGGCGGATCTCTAGAGGCTGGTCGACGGAGGAGAGGAGATCTTCGGTCAGGTCTGGGACAATCGATGTAATGGCCTGCAGGTTCTGTTTCGTGTCGCGGGGGTTGAGGCGCCGAAGAAGATCGCTAGAGTGTGGTTGTTATGGTCAGCTTGAGCTGTTGTTGTTGTTGTTCTCCGAGCGGGGTTACACTCCGCTGTCCGGATCCTCAGAATGAGGACCCAAGATGTGGAATATGAGGTATATCATCGATTGCTCGGTATTGGGTACTTACAGCGCACTGTCAAATTGGATGTCCGCCATGGTGTGAGGTGCTGGAAGAGTGTTGTATTTGTGAAGCTCTACGTGAAACTGGGTCTCGATCTTGACTTGGCCGATTAAGGTGCGTGCGCGGAGAAAGTGGGGGTGGCATTTAGGCTACCCCCTGAGCTTGGAGAACGCTTCGGTGAACATACTACCCTTAAAATGATAATAAAAGAGACTCAAAACTCATCTATTGCTATGTAATTTTGGGTATCTAGAGATGATCGATAATGTTCCAAAAGCCAAGCTCAAATATCCAAAACTGTCCACGCTGATCCAAATGTCATTCCTCACTGTCATCATCAAGAATAAATCTATTCCGTTTGCGAGAAGCATGGCGCTCTGCGCTGCGGTTGAGGAGTGTCTCGACGTCAGGGAAATCAAGTTCAAAAGCATCTTGGCTTCTTTGTGATGAATAGGGAGGTCTTTCGGTAGGAGGTCCCAGAGAAGATGGCATCAACTTCTCTGGAGACAGCAGTTCGGGAGTGCAATCGTCCTCGTTTTCGTCCTTCCGTACATGTACATTGTTTGGCCGTGAAGTGGCCGACGGCCTTTTGAAGGCATGCGGCTTCTTCCCCAGCCTTCCACAGTTCTGCGCTGGAGGGTCCGATTCGCGAGACAGAACTGAGTCCTCAATCTTCTTCCTTGACTCCAGAGCCAACACTCTCCTATATCGGCTTTCACAATCAACACTAATCTTACTCATTTTTTGGAGAGTACCAATCATGCGGGAGGTCAAGGAACCATGTTTGACAGCTTTTGTCGGCCTAGGAACGGATTGCAGACGAGGGTAGGCATCAACACGTGGGTTCCGGATGAACTCTGGACTAGTGCCTCCTATATGACAATAGCGTCGCTCAAGATCCTGTTGCTGTCCTGGCGTAAGGAGAACTTCTTCCAGGGCGGGAACCTCCACAGGCTCTGGAGTTGGTTTGCGGACGGCTCTCTTAGTTTCTGCTTTCTTCGTCACTTTCCCAGTTAGACTGGACGCCTTTGCAAAACCAGTTTCGACGTCATCTGGCATATGGAACTTCTTCGGCGGCCTTTTTGGGGGCCGTGCTCTCCTTCTGGGCTCTGGTAAATCAGCCTGCGTATTCTCCACCGGAATATCGATTTGCCTCTTCTCAGCCACAGGGCGAACTCCTGGAGGCAAGATGCGAGGGGATGTGTCGTCATGAAAAGTGAAACGAGTACCGCTGGCTATCATCTGCTGCATTTTCTCATAATTGTCTTTAGCCTTAATATAAGACTCCTCTTCTTTGCCCTGCATCAGAAGCAGCACAATATTACCAGCTCTCTTACGACCAGTACGTCCCATGCGCTGGAGCATACGGATGGGCGACGCCGAAGAATCGTAGCAGACAATGAGATCGACCTCGCCAATATCGAGACCTTCTTCACCAATCGAGGTCGCCACGATAGTGTTATATGTGCCTTTCTTGAACTTCTGCACAATGCTCAACTGTGTCTTTTGGTCCATTCCCTCCGATCCTTTCGCACTGCTCTGCCCTACAAACACGTGGGGTCGAATCAGGGGCTCGTACCGCTTTAGAACTCTGACCACCTCCTCAGCGCTGTCTCGAAAATGTACAAATATCATAATTCGCGTTGCTGACTGACTCTGGTCTCCATTGGCTGCCGTTCCTTCTCCACGATCCATGAAGTGATTGAGTACGACCTGTTTGAGGTATTCTAACTTCGGATGGCCGATAAATTCTGGGTTCTTAGTCCAAGGCTGGAGATGGTTCATAAGCTTCTTGAAGCTTTCGTCCTGCACAATCTGTCGTTGATATTTGCCCCCCTTTTGGCCGTCAGTGTTAGACTGAAAGTGCAAAAGGTGCCGATAGAACGGCGTGATACCGTGATATTTCAAGAGATCGATAGCATGGGCCAAACTCGCGAGGACGGTGAAAATTGCGTTGACTTTGCCCTTCAGGCCAAGGTTCGCATTCCTCCCTGCATCTGAACCCATCCATTGCTGACGGGCCTTGGTGAGACCGAACGCGGTGAGAGCCATCGGATCCCTTCCCCAGTAGGCGTTCAGGTTACGAAGTTGGTCGACAAGCGGCTGCAGAGTCCTTGTGAAAAGCTCCATGCACAGCACCATTTCATCGGAATTCTGAAACGTTTGTACCTCGGTGTCCCGAGCATGTACATACTCCCGAATGTCGAGAGACTGCTCGGTGCGAATCTCCACCTTGGCAATACCCAGGCCATCAATGACGGCTTGCACTGATTCCACAGTAGAGCCTGGAGTTGCAGTGAGGGCAAGGACCCGGAAGCTCTTGTTATACCGCTTGAGGAACTTGACGACTTCCACGTATGCATAGCCGCCAGTGGCACGATGAGCTTCGTCAACAACGATCAGAACGATACGTTTGGGGTCGGCTATTCCTGTCTTGAGATCATTGACGAGGGTTTGAGGGGTCATGAAGAAAACACGTTTGCTTTTCCATTCCTCCGCGCGAATGCCTGGCGCGGCTTCACCTGTCAGCATGGTCGTCTGTGATCGCGGGATGCCGGCCACCTGGAAGCAAGCAGAGATCTGCTGGGCTACCAGGGGCTTTGTCGGTGCTACGAAGATAATTTGAGCACTCTTTGTCCATCGATACCAATTGAGCATAATGGTCGCAGCGATGAACGTCTTTCCAAGACCAGTAGGAAGCGCAACCAGCAGATTATGGAAAAGACCTCGCTGTGCGATGTTGAATTGATAATCTCTCGTCTTCCCCAAATTAGTGGGGTAGACCCATGTGTTTATAGCCTCTTCATTGAGTTTGTGATGAGTAGGAGGTTCATCTTTCTCCGGTGGCGAGAAAAATTGCTCTCCTCGCTGCGAGGGGATGTCAGAATCTCGTGCAACCATGTTGAACAACGTGGATTGCCGTAGGCCAAGCGGGCGATTGGTGCTGAATTGAGATTGAACAGGCGGTCTACGTGTCGCTTGAGACGTCGTTCTGGGTGGCGACAAGGATAGGTCCGAGTCGAAGGCGTCATCTGGTATATCATCGAGATCGAATGGCACGTCCGCTTCAGCCTCTTTCACTACGGCGGAAGGTGCGACAGCAGTCCGTCCCGGCGTAGACCTGGATGCAGTAGAGGGGATATTTCCCCCATTCTCTTCCTCAAATGAGCGCAGTGATGCTGCAATAGCAGCCTCCATTTCTTTATCTTCATCATAATACTGATCCGGTTGATGACTGGCATCAACTGTGGTCGTTGTAGGCTCGGGCGCAAGAGGTTCGGGGCCAGGCTTCTTCCATCGAGGGCCACGAATCATCTCCGGGGGCGAAGGCGGCTGGGTCAATTGTGTGACGAAGATATTCTCCTGGAAGTTGTTGCGTTTTGGTACAAAGACCTTGTACTTGGAGGTTCTCTCAACATCCTCAAATTGAACGCCGTTAACAGACCCTCGGTCGGGCGATTGAAACTCGTCCTCCCCATCGCCCTGGTCTATGGAGAACTCGGATTCTAAGTTAAAGAGGTATTAGATCCAGATCATAAGCAAATCTCGGGCCGCGGTAGCTTGCCTGCATCATCGCCTAACCGCCGACGCTTTGCTGGACGGTTGTTCGTCTCGGCTGATTTAACTGCATCGGGTGTCCCAGGGACGATAACGTCGTCAATCTCAGTGTCAGAGTAATCATCAGAGTCGTCACCAGAAACGGACATGTCGCGACTCGCTTGATCTTAACCGAATAGCCCCTCGTGGGATTATAAGGCTCATTGTTTAGTGATGAAGCAACGCGACGCGGTATCGCGACATCACGTGAGCCAATTGAATAGTATAATAGGAGTTTGTCCTGTTTGCACTTGCACCCATCGTCTGGAGTGAATCGGCGGCGCACGTCCTTCGCTTCTGGGCTTAGTGTTACTGGTGGAGAGAGGAGTCATGGAAACCATTTTAGCAGCTCCACTTGGGCCATGCGATGAGGTTTAACGAGGAAGATTCGAGATGCCTTGTCCAAGGCAACAGTCGCCCTGTTCATACCAAGTTTCATGGTCCTCAATTGTCGCGGTGGAAAACTGAGAGTACTGACGGACCAGCGTCCAGGATCAACAAAGACAGACCCCTTATTTGCCTCACAATTTCCATTCTGGTCAGAGATCACAGGCACAGAAGTCAAAATTGAAACCTGGTCCGCGTCAAATGACTTCAGGCTAGAGGCAGACAGGGCCACACTAAGGAGTCTGGTTATTTTAGGCACTCTTTTTCTTGAATTCCGACCCCAGATTCCACAGCCACAATCTCCTCATGTCTCTGATTTTCTATTGTGCTAATAATAATCAGCAAGGGCCTTCACTTTTCAGCTGAAGTTTAATGACATACAAGTGATCGAGGGACTCGCAAAATGATGGTTACACTGAATGAGCACCCTCATTTATTATTTAGTCAGATATCATTGTTATGCCTAACAGTAGGTATCTTTGCACTATTATTGAGTGTCACCATATCAGCCAAACAAGGCGGCTTGCATCGAAAAGAGCAGTCGGTGACGATGATCAGATCCTCCTTGGATCATTTTTATTATGTATTGTTGTTGTACGCTGTATTTTGTAAGGCCGATGCTACTGGAAGAATCCAGACTAAAAGACGACAACCTGATTTTCTCCAATTCTTCAACAGCTTTGTCCAACCACGATCGTCCACAGAGCTAAGCTAGCTGAGGAGATACTGCATGAAGCCTTAGTGACGCTGTCAGTGGATGATTCAAGCAGTCGGGATAGTCCTAAAACTCAAAATAAGTATTATTTACAGACAGGAAAGCCTGAAACCCTACTAATGGGAAGGCGTAACGACAAGAAACATGGGAGTGACAAGACTTGGAATCATTAGTGTGTCCAATATCCACAGGTCACAGAGAACCCTTCCCAGCAAGGTTTCATGGCCTGAGGGTATCAACTACTGTCATTGGTCTTACTTTATTACTCCTCCTTTCCCCAAATTACTTCTGTTTTCTCTCCCCTTCTTCTTCCTCCTCATCAATAAACACCCGTCTCTCGTTTGTAGCAGCAATCTTCTTTTCTCTCTCTTACACTGAGATCTCAAGTCTGTCGCTTCTGAATCTCTACAGTCAATCCAAGTCAAAATGAAGTTCAACAACATCATCGCCGTCTCCTCTCTCTTGGTCCTGGCTACTGCCCAGTCCACCACTGACAGCGCAGCCTCCACCACCACCAGCCTGACTCCCGAGGCCTCCTGCGCCGCCAAATGTGCGTATTTATAGCTTTTCTTGAACTATCCAGCACATAAAGCTAACCACGCGATTGCATTCAGGCGGTTCTAATGACATTTGCTGTGTTGCTGGATGCTACAAGGTTCCCTGCCCTAGCGACCAGCAGGCCAATGACACCGTCAGCTGTGTCGCTGCGTGCCCTCAGGGCTCTGGCACTCCTAGCGACACCGACAAGTATGCCGCGTGCCAGAGCAGCTGCTACAGCAGCCACTTCTTCCCCGCGACCATGACCAATGCTGGTTCCGCCAACACTGGTGTCAGCACCAACACCGCGACCACCACGGGCACTGGCTCCAGCAGCTCTAAGACTGGCACTTCTGGTATGTTACTGATTCTATCTGGTCATTCCTGAAACGGCCCAAGAAAGTCAAGGCTAATTGGACAATCTGCAGGCTCTGGCTCCACCGCCTCTGGCTCCGGCACTGCTACCAGCAGCTCTACCGCCACCTCGACTCCCAACGCTGCTGCTGTTAGCCAGCTGCAGCTCGGTGTCTCTGCCGCTGGTCTCCTTGGCTTCGTTCTTGCTGCTTGGGCTCTGTAAACAATGACCTGTTCTTACAGACACAGCTCACGGCTACGACTGGTTCCCAGATGGTAATGAATCTCGAGACGGGAGTTAATAGGGTTACCGGACATGGGTCGATTGATTTTATTTCTCTTCATTCTCATTGAAGTACTAATAAGGATGCCACCTAATACTGTGCCATAGTTGCCTTTCATGTGTAGTACTTTCAAACTATTTTGAGATACCAATGCGAAAATGCTTAATAATGACTCTTGTCTCACTGGCTTTTCTTCTACTTCGAACCACAGTATGAACGTCGACATCAACATGAGCAATGTTGGCTTGATGGAGTTCCTAGAAACCAAGGCAATTGTCATGGACGTTCAATTCAGCGAGCTCTGTTCAGGTCGATCCATAGGCCCGCAGTCATCAACCACCTAGGCACTATAAGCTTTGAAACGTCAATTGAAAGAGTTCGGAATACGCTCATAACACTTTGTAGCTCAGGAACCGTTTGTAATCTCCCCCAAGGTCTCCGGGCCTTTCTCCACCCTAATTTCTGACATTCCCTCCTTTGTATCGACTCTATAAGCCTTGACATCATGCGAGGCGCATAGGACATGCCTGCAATGTATCAAGTAGATGCCAACGATGAATGATGAGAGATCTACTCCGTGGATCGTGAAGATCTGTAGGAAGATCCACACCGATAAGGCTGATTGATAAGCTGCGCGTCAACTCCCCGCTTAAAACGCGTAAATCACATCATCATAAAAAGGTAAAGAGAAACAGTCAACCATATCTTCTCATTTTTAATAAACCAACTATCTACAGCCTGACGCCGTCAGTCACATAAGTCCTAGCAGAGACGCATTTCTCTTCCTACACTACATCCACCTCAACCAAGAACAAAGCGAGGGGAAACAAAATGGCACCCCCAGCAGACTTCCACCACCTCTACACCACCATGGCCGACTTCGTGACGTCCTGCATGTCCGCCCATGATCCCTCCCACAACCCCGCCCACGTCCATCGCGTCGTCACACTAGCCCGCACAATCCTCGAGAAGGAGCAGCTCGCACACCCGGACATCACCTACGACGCTGACGTTGTCAAACTCGCTGCCTTGCTCCATGATATCGGTGATAGGAAGTATTTGACGCAGGTCGCCGCGGCGACGTCTGCGGGCGCGGAGCAGCAGCAGCAGGCGGCGGTTGATCCGGGCAGGATGGTGGAGCTGGCGCTGCTGGCGCATGGGGCGGACGCGGCCCTCGCGGCGAGGGTGCAGACCATCGTGACGCATGTGTCGTACTCCAAGGAGGCTAAAGATCCTGCGACGGTGCGGAGATTGATTGACGAGGAGGGGTATGTGGAGTTGGCGGTGGTGCAGGATGCGGACCGGTTGGATGCGCTGGGGGCGGTGGGGATTGGGCGGTGTTTTACGTTTCTGGGGGCGCAGGGGAAGAAATACCTTAGTCCTGGGGAACCGTGGGATATGAATAATGCTATAGCTCACTTTCAGGAGAAGCTGGTCCGGTTAGAGGGGATGATGAAGACGCAGACGGGGAGGGAAATGGCTCGCGTGCGGACACAGCGGTTGGTCGAGTTTCGCAAGTGGTGGGAGGAGGAGATGGAGGAGGCAACTCATACTCCTTGAGAAGGACATTGCTTGGTGATAGTCGCAGCTTACCCCCAAGACCTCTCAGCAAGTGCATAATAGATCAAGTAATCATCCATAGATCTCATTCTGTCTATCAAATCTCCACAGAGAGGTACAGTATTTGGGTATTTAGTATGTAGTTGCAAGAGTATCAAGCACACAGCAAACATCCAGTACCAAAGGGAGCGTCATAGAACCCAAGAAAGGTATCCTGGAGCCAGAAGAAGTAACCAAAAACAAGACCAACCGTGTAATAGACTCCAATGACATCGAAACTACCAGATTATCTCGTGCTGCTCTGCATGTATGGATTTCTATGATAGGCATGAGCACCACATCGAGACCAAACGCCAAAATTAGATCAAAGTCTAGAAATACGTCGAGCTGCTCGGACGCGCAAGGGAAATAAAAAAAACAATGTGCTTCAAATAGCACAGAAAGGTTTGATGTTGAATTTCAAACCCGATCCCGAGCAAAATCCAGCACTTCACAGTCGTCTTCGAAGAATCCGTCGTCGACACCAGCGGCAGGAGCAGCGGAGACTGCCATGGAATGTCTCTTCTTCCTGCGAGTGGTGATAACAACCTCTTCAACGTTGCCGGTGCTGTTGCCAAGACTGATAAGGTTCTCCATTTCTACCCCGTAGCCGTGGTGTTGTTCGTGCACGATATCGTCCTCGTCCCCGGTGCCGCTGCCGGCGCTGAATGGCCGCACGTGGAGCTTGGTCAGCGAGATGCTGTCGCCAAAGATCCACTGGCCGCCCGGGCCACACGTCAACGGATCACATACTTCATTGTCATTCGAGAAAACGAAGAGATTGACTCTGTGGTCGGTGTGGAAGGGCTGATAAGGTGTGTTCGTCTCGATCTCGGCCTGGGACAGGGGCTGGCACCTGATCTTTGAGGTAGTGTGGGGCCGTGAGTTTGAAGACGGCAGGGTTAAGAAGGCAGACACAGTGTGTTCATGGGAGAATGTCCCAATCAGCAGTGGACCGCATGGAATCTGAAGGTTCGCAGGCAACTTGTACTCGATTTCCTTGTTTCCAATAACCGACTGCAGCTGGCGGTTCCTGGGAGAGGACATGGATCTTTTGACCCGGTACAGCCGGAAGAATCCATTGTCTACGGCACCCAGGAAAGGCTGCCCTTTGTTCGAGATCCAAACGACACGAGACGCGGCTGGGTCGCGGGCGAGACCGGAGAGGTGCAGTCGATTCTCTCCAGCGTGCCGGAGAGTATTGACTGTACCAGTCGCTGCACCCATCGATTTACTAAGGCCAGCAGCAACCGCCCTCCCACTCCGGACTCCAGCTGCGGAGGGAATTGCGAACGCACCCACTGCAGGAAATGCAGAGCCAGCGGACGGAGTGCGGCCACTGACAGCAGCCAGAATAGGCTGCGTTTTCCCTCCAACGAGTTTAAGCGCGGCGGATAGTGGATTAGCCGCAGCCGCTCTGTCAGTCGCTTCGTCCGTGGGGGAGTTGTTGGCCTGTGACTTGTGGGGTTGAGGACGAGCTCGCCGGAACGGAGGCCACTGAAAAGCACTGCGGGGAAGGTCAAAAACGTGCACTGTACCCTTGCGGGTTATCACTGCCAGGCGATCTCCGGACGGAGGGGACCAAATCACGTCGACAATAGAAGACGTAGTAAGACGCGCGAACCGCGCAACTTGTCGCACATTGGCTGATGGTGATGTGGAGTCCTCAGAAAGGAAGACCCCTGCCCGACAATGCCTGGCTTGCATCAAGTCCCAAACGTACTGGACATCCCCCTTCTTGCTCGCTGTGAGTAACATCAAGCCATTAGGGGAGAATGACAAGAAGCTACATCCATTAGGGACCTGGAAGGTAGCGATGGGGTTGAGCATAGCATTCCTTGCCTCTGCGCCATCATCGAATCGTCTCAAATCCAAAATCGAGACAGAATCAGGTTCTGCAGGAGACGTGGTTTGAGTCTCCTGGGCATGTGTCGGAGGGAAGAGACCGTATCCTTGTTGTGGTAAGTCCATAAAATTTGGAGATCGCCGCGAGGACGTGTTCTGAGACTGGTCTTTGTTCCAGTAATTGTTCCAAGCTTGAAGCCCCTGGTCGCCCATCCAGCGGGCACCACGTACCAGCTCTTGTGTGACACCCCTTGCTACTTTGTCAAAGAGACTCTCGCCCTCGCCAACGTCCGTTGCGGAGGTGACTGGTGGCTTCGCTGGAGGACTACGCGTCTCGAGCCCAAAAGTTTTGCCCTGAATAAGTGAGGCAGGCACCGTTGCACGAATAGAAGCTCTATAAGTTGAGGATGGTGGCACTATTGCTAGCCATCGTCCTCTAAGCGCCAGCACAGGGTAATCTGAAACAGCTGAACCATGTGGGGAGTCGTTCCGAGATGCATCCGGATCAGTTGAACTGGACGATGTTGAGTATCGCCGAGCCTCTCGTGTCTGTACACTTGTCCAGGTTTTGCCCAAGAACTGATATGCACATGACTGTGAGAAAGGGTTTATGCCGTATACATACACCTCCCCACTGACGCCGGAAGCCAACACTATATGGTTCCCGCTGACGAGGAGCTTAAGATTCCCAATAGGAGATGGGGCCAGAGCAGGCAATCCGGGAATGTTCTCAAAACACGGAGTAGGTTTCGTGGTGAAGAGCGTTGCGATCTGCTCTCCGCTCCTGAGAGAATAGACCTCGGCTCTGGTTTGGTACAGTTTCGGCTCATCCCTGCTAACGCGCTTTTCACCCGGCGGAAGCCTTCCGGTCTGACTAGGTGGTATCTCATTCGTTTCCGAACCAGCAGAAGATGCCCGGCCTTCGTCTTCACTTGAGGCACAGGGTCCGTGTATTATGACGGCGACGTGTGGTCTAGACGAAATGAACGGATCGTTCGATGAGGTCGAGGCTAGGATCTTTGCCTCTATCACCCGACCTCTAAGCCCACTGAGCTTTCCCACTAAACGCGTTTTGCGGTCTTCGATTGCGAGAACATCCAAGGCCCCGTCAGTGCCAACAAGCATTACGGTGCCACCCATTTTGGAGGACTTGAATGCTGGACCGGACAAAGTGTCAAAGCCACAGAATGAGTAACCTTCGTCTCCAGCTGCACGGTTTGAACCAGTAAATGGAGGGAGATCAATATCTGGAGCACCGTAGAAGTGAGGTTGCGGCAGATGAGGCAGGGGAATATGACCATCGTACGGGCCACTCAGAGAATGGCTCTTCTGCCTGTCTACGGATTGCTGCCTGGACAAATTGCTGCTCAGGTATCCAGTGCCGTAGCTCAAGGGTCTCCTTCGAGGAGGAGGAGAGGTTGACGAGGGTTGACTGAAACCACCTTTATCTAGGTGCGTAGGGAAGCTGAGGGGAGACCCGCCTGCGAGCTCCCCATTGATGCCATCATTTGGAGGACTTTTTCCATATGGAATTGATTTTGCCCATGTTCCCGTACGGATGGCAAGATCATTCTCCGTCGTTTCCGTAAGAGACCCAAACGCGTCTGGAACGGCCGGGGCAACCGGATTACTAGGGGGAGCTAACGGAGTATCTGAATAAGACGCCGGCTCAGCTAGCATAGGAGGGGAAGTGTCAATCCTGTGGCATCAAGGGCGGACTTTGTTAGTTTATGGACACTTATAGCCTGAAGAGGAGCGATTTCCATGCATACAGGTCATCAGGCGGAGACTTGGCTACCGCTTTGGCCCCTTTACCTCCTTTGCCGTTTTTACCCTTTTTCTTCGTTTTTCCAATATTGTCATTGTTTTCGGGACTTGGCCGAGTGAAGTCTGAAGGAAGGGGGATGAGATCGCCTGAAGCCCGGCCCTGCTGGCGAAATAAGTCGTCCGAGGCTGCCGGGGGCATTCAACTGAAGGAGTGCCTCAAGGAGGCAATAAGAATCTCACTAAGGAGACCGCCCTCAAGACCTCTGATAAGGTCTGAGAACGGGTGTTCAAACAATAATGTTGACTGGTAAAGAGGATTGATGAGCTGGGACCCTATCAAGAGACTGCGTGGAACCTTGTGTACAGAACGCTTGTCAGCGTGAGTCATCGCAAAAAGCAGTTGCGTGCTCTCATTGAAACATACTATTGTTTGTTGATTGAAGTGACAAAGATCTCAAGAGGAAGGACGGAATAAGTTATTGCACTCTCTCTGTTCGAGTGCAGAGCTGTCGCGCGGGCCAGCGTATTTGGGGATTTGTACCCTTGAATACGCCTTGTAGATGCGGGACTCAGTATGACTCGGATGCCAGACTTCTGTCATCCAAGCCTCCAACTCTGTAATTATCTCCAATATCTCTGAACTACAGTCTCGTATGACTGTCCAAAACTCGGGACTCAAGAAAGATCACAGATAGTTGTTTGAAGGGAGATATAGAGCAGGTAAACGGTTCAAGAGAGGGGGAGGGGGAAGCCATGCAGGTCAGGAGCATAGGTAGATGACATCTCTCCATGGTAGGCTGACTGCTCATACGTAATTAAACCAAAGTTTACCCGTTATCTGCAAGCAGCTAGTAGGTATCAGTCAATAGTTCCAGGGCTGGTTTCCTTATCAGTAGGTACCTACCTTAGGTACCCAGGGGGTACGGAGTTACCTTACGGAGTAAGGTACCTATCTGCCTGCCCCACTTTCCGCTCCGTATCTCAGTTGGCACCCCTCATAAACCAAGTCTCATCTATGATTTATAGAAAATTGTTGAAAATGACCAGATATCCACACCAAACCCGTACTTCAGAGTTACATAATCCCTCGTAGCATTCTCGACAGCCACCCTTGGAGCATGAATGCCTGTGACTATAGGCACGAGGTACCGTATCTTTGCTGGTAACGACATTACAAACAACGATCCCCATCCCGCATGAGGGGTAAGACAAACATTGCAAACAGCGCCCGAAACACGGGGTCAGAATGCGACACGTGATTTGCCTGAGGGCTGTCCTCGCAGGAAGAGGTGGCAGGTCATGATCACCATCATCAACTGGATGTTGAAACTTGGCTCGAACATTCCACGTTTCCACGTTTGCCTCCGGAGGTAACCGCCAGTCAAACGACGACCAAGTCTCTTCGACTCAGGATCAAGCGTCAGGTGTTCGTTGTCGACTTGTCACGGGGTCACTTCTGCAGCATAGCCATGATCTGTAAGGCCCCAAGGTGTCATTGGTGGAGGATCAAGCGATGACCGAGACATGATTCCTGCCGGTCATATCACAAATCTATGCATTGTCATAGTCCAAGGGAATTCTTCCTCAACGTGCCATTTCCCTATGACACCTCGTCCCGTAGACTTAGGTGCCTACCGATGACCTATGGATCGTCATTGACAAGCATCAATCCTTATGATGAGACAAACGTGAAGGATTCCTCTATAACTCGATAGGGGTAAAGCGAAAGTCAAAGAATTTAGATAATATTGATACAAGGTTATTAGATAAAGTCAAGGGGAAACTCCCTTGCACACTCCGGTAGACTTTGCTTTTGTTCACCGGTCCTTTGTATGCCACCTCTTCTTGGCAATATTCAGGTCTTCTTCTTCGCGGCAGCCGCTTTGGCGGCTTTCTTTCTGTTGCTCTTGATCATTACCAACCCAATAAAGGTACCAACCACGGCCGAGCCCAGTAGAGTCAGAATGACAGGTATGCGGATAGCCCACACGCGAGGAGGAAAGAGGTCATGAAGAGGGTGTCCGGTGTCAACGAATGGCTGTTTGATAGTTAGTCTTCGTGTCAGGTGCCGTCAAGAGGTGCGGATTAAGTACCATAAGGAGAGTCCAAGCCGTGTAATAGAGAAAGATCGCGGTAGCGACCAAGAGCATGGCGGATCCCACGAGTTGGCCCAGCTGCGATCAGATTCAGTCAGTATAAGCGGGGTATAGCTGAGGAGGAATTGAAGACTCACCATAATGGATGCTCGAATTAGGTTGATTCCCTCCTAACAGAACGCAGGAAGTGCACGACGAAATGTCTCCCATGATACTGCCCATAAACAGTCCAGGCCAGCTTGGCTCCTCAGACGTCACGTGATATTGTTGGACGCTAAGGCTTTCTCCCTTCGCCGCCTCACGTTCCCGAGTGATAGAACTTTGTCGGATCACATACTGCATCTCGAGCTCTGGAGTTGATATCTAGCTCAAGAAACTCCAGAGTTTTAGATTCAGACACAGTTCAACCATGACGGATTCTGTCGTGTTGCAATCCGCCGTTCGCGTGCCTACACCTCCCCCAGGCACGTCGTACTCTCCACAGCCCTCAGCCTTGCGAAAACGCTCTCCTCCATCTCGGTCCCCTTCCCCTCGTCGCCGTCGATCGCCACCTGGTGACTCTCTGAAGGATGATGGGGGTGCGCCACGTATCGATCCTGAGCGTGCGGTCGAAAGAGAGCGCCAGCTGGCCGAGCGCCTTCGTCAGCATGAGAAGCAGGAAACTGCGCGGAAGCCTATGACGGAGGAGGAGAAGCAAGCTGCCGCCAAAGCAGAGTATGATAAATTGTTGAATATGCGATCTGGGGGCACATACATACCACCAGCTCGATTGCGCGCACTGCAGGCGCAGATCACGGATAAAAACAGCAAAGAATACCAGCGTATGGCATGGGAAGCTCTGAAGAAGTCCATCAACGGTCTCATCAACAAGGTCAACGTGTCCAACATCAAGTTCATCGTTCCCGAGCTATTCGGAGAGAACCTGGTGCGTGGCCGAGGTTTGTTCTGCAGGAGCATCATGAAGGCGCAAGCGGCGAGTTTACCGTTTACCCCGATCTACGCGGCGATGGCGGCCATTGTCAATACGAAGTTGCCTCAGGTCGGCGAATTGCTGCTCAATAGGTTGATTGTCCAATTTCGAAAAGCTTTCAAGCGAAACGATAAGGCCGTCTGCATCTCATCCACCACATTCATTGCGCATCTGTGTAACCAGCAAGTCGCTCACGAGATGCTTGCTGCACAGATTCTCCTTCTTCTGCTACATAAACCTACAGATGATAGTGTGGAGATTGCCGTCGGTCTGACCCGGGAAGTTGGTCAGCACTTGGAAGAGATGAGCGCGCCCATTGCTTTGGCGGTGTTTGATCAATTCAGGAATATTCTGCACGAGGCCGACATCGACAAGCGAGTTCAATATATGATCGAGGTCCTGTTCCAGGTTCGTAAAGATAGATACAAGGACAACCCGGCGATCAAGGAGGAACTCGACCTAGTTGAGGAGGAAGATCAGATCACCCATCGTATCGGTCTCGATGATGAGATTGATACTCAAGATGGTCTCAATGTCTTCAAATATGATCCTCAGTGGGAGGAGCACGAAGAGGCGTACAAGAAGCTCAAGGCCGAAATTCTTGGCGAGGGTAGCGATGATGAAGAAGATGAGGACGAAACCGACGAGAGTTCTGACGAGGAAGAGGAGGAGGCACGACAGATGGAGATCAAGGATCAAAGCAATACAGATCTCGTCAATCTCCGGCGAACAATCTACTTGACTATCATGTCCAGTATCGACTTCGAAGAATGTTGCCACAAACTCATGAAGATCTCGTTGCCGCCTGGCCTGGAGCCAGAACTCCCCTCGATGATCATCGAATGTTGTTCCCAGGAGCGAACGTACTCGAAATTCTACGGCTTGATTGGAGAGCGATTTGCGAAGATCAACCGTTTATGGTCTGATCTCTTCGAAGCCGCCTTCGCCAAGTATTACGACACAATCCATCGATACGAAACCAATCGTCTGCGCAATATAGCCCGTTTCTTTGGCCATATGCTGAGCACAGACGCCATTGGCTGGCATGTCATGTCTGTCATTCACCTCAATGAAGATGAGACGACCTCTAGCAGCCGTATCTTCATCAAGATTCTGTTCCAAGATCTAGGGGAACATCTTGGCCTTGCGAAGTTGCAGGAGCGCATGAGGGATGAAGTTCTGCGGCCCAGCTTCGAAGGACTCTTCCCTCTGGACAACCCTCGCAACACTCGCTTTTCAATCAATTACTTTACAAGTATCGGCTTCGGTATTCTGACGGAAGACATGCGGGAACACTTGAAGAACCTTCCCAAACCGACTGTACCCGCCCTTCCTGCACGAGACGCAGAGTCGGACTCGGAGTCTGTCAGCTCACATTCTACCTGCTCGACATGCACTGGATCCTCTCGCTCTCGCTCACGATCATATTCGTATTCACGGTCTCCTTCGCGAAGTCGCGGCCGGCGTCGTTCCGTTAGCCGCGGAAGGTCGTACTCGAGATCCGTGTCTGGATCTTCGCGAGGAAGAAGTTATACCCCAAGCCACAGTCGATCGAGATCTCCAGTTCCAAAGTCTCGTCGGCGCTCAGTGTCCTATAGTCGTTCACGCTCGCCAGCTGGCCGAAGAAGGTCGTCAGTCTCTCGCACACCACCTAGGCGTGTCCGTGGCAAATCCTATGACTCTCGCTCTCCCTCGCGATCCGTTTCGCCGCCAAGAAGACGAACCTCTTACAGCCGGAGAGACAGATCTTATTCCCGGTCACCGTCACGCTCTGTTACCCCACCTCCCCGAGCTCCGGATGCAAGGGCGCGTGGTAGACGCTACTCCTCGCAGTCTCTTTCTCCTCCCCGTCGACGTGCCGAGAGAAGTGTATCTCCTCAACGTCCTCCTCCTGGTCGCCGTGCCCGTGGCGATTCTCCGTCACGATCACCAAGTCCCCCGCCGCGGTATGCACGTGAACAGAGACGCAGAAGGAACTCGAGCTCTGTCTCGGCATCTCGCTCGCCTCCACCTCGCGACTCCAACAGGCGCAGGTCTCTATCTAGGACTTCGCCTCGTCGGGGCCGCGCCTCCGACTATTTGTAACAAGAGAAAAGCTCATTGAATTATGCCTTCGGTACTTGGACATTGCACAGTGACTCGGCAGGTTTTAATGGTCTAAATAACTGGAACAACATGGGTGGGCAAAGGTTCTAAAGGTGTATCTATATTTTTAGGCTGTGAATTCGTTTGCAAGCTGTTATGCACAATACAAGTCTTGAGCATCTGCACTTAATCTCTTGGTCGTGTATATGAAGTCTCTGTAAGATTCGCATAATCATTCAGTCATCTATCGGGTATCTCGAGTGCTGTATCGCTGCCACAACCATTCTATATACCAAGTCCAACCATCTACGCCGTAGAAGCCTCCCACACACACCTCTCGCACTGACACAAACCCCCAAGCGCGCCCCTAGCCCACTCCCTCCGCTCCTTCACATCAAGCCCAATATCACAGTAATGATTCAGAATCTCCTCATCCGCCTTGATCCCCTCGCCCGCCCGCCTGACAGGCGCCCCTTCCCCCTTCCACACCGCACGCTCGCCCTCCGTCCGCGCCCGGAACGTAATCTCGCCGCCCCATTCCCAGCGCACGTTGGGGTCACACGAGTGGTTCGCCAGACACCAGAGCGGATGCACGGCGCAGAGCTCCGGCCCGCCGTCCCAGGTGGAGAGGCGGCCTGACGCGGTGCCGCGGAACTTGGCGTACAGCGTGTTGAGCACCCAGGTGTCGTAGCGGGGGAGGTTGGCGTACGGGTCGAGTTCCATTTCCTCGAGGATGCGCATCGGCTGGAGGATGTTGAGCTGGAAGGAGAAGGGGAGGGTGACGGTGGGGTCGTCTGAGTCTGAGGGGTCGTTGAGGTCGAGGTCGTGGAAGTCGCCCCATATGTATTTTACCTCGGGGAGATCGAGCGGGTGCGTGTCCTGCGTGGCGGCCATGGCGATGGCCCGGCCCAGGAGCAGGAGGTACAGGTAATCGGCCTTGTCCTTCGAATCGGGGATATCCTTGCCGATCGACTCGAGGTTGTCCATGAGGCCGCAGACGGCGCCGTGGTAGACGGTTTGCGCGGTGTCGTGGCACTTCTGGCTGCAGAAGATGGTGTCGGCGCAGCCGTCGCACGCGACAGGCGGTTCCGCGGACGAGAGCTCCGGCAGCGGGGCGTTGCAGGCGTCGCAGAGATCATCGTGGAGACGGTTGGTGGCTGTGAGTAGCGACGACTCGCGCAGGAGGATCTCCCCGGGAGCGATGTCTTCTTTTGCGAATAGACCGAGTTGAACGGAGACTTCTGCTGCGCCCTCGTCGGGGGCCGTAGTCGTACCATGCAACGCGGGCAGCGCAACGGCGCGGACCTCGCACTTGGGCGCAACATCCCTCAGCCTCTCATTCAGCAATGCCAGTGTCTCGGGCGCCTTGCGGTCAGGCTCATGCGTGTTCCACGGGTAGAGCACCCGCCTCGCGTAGCCCTGCGCATTCAGCACGCTTGCGTCCACTACCACCTCCCCATCACCTTCTTTCCCCCGCTTAGCAGCATACACCTTCTTCAGCATCCCCAGCTGCTCTTTCAACCCAGCAATCTCATCCTCCGTACCGACACCCACCTCCTCCAACAGCGTAAGTCCCCGCACACAGAACTCATACGCATCCCGATAACACCCGCACCGGACCAAGCTCCTCACAAGCAACCCATACACGCCCCCAATCATACCATCGTATTCGTCCTGCGATATATCCTCAAATTCCCCGTCCTCGTCCTCATCCTCATGCTCCGCCTCATGCAGACTTCCAACCCGCCGCCTAGCCTGAAACTCGCACCCATCCGGATCAACAACAGACTCCAGCAATGACAGAGCCCGGTACGCATCCGCCGACGCGAGATCCGAGAAACCTAGGCGCTCGTGTATCCGGCCTCGGTTGAGGTATCTGTGCGGATTGTGTGGGTCTGCGTACAGTTGGGCGGTTGCTTCGGAGCGTTCGCGTAGAAGTGTGTCTGCATCTGTGACTGTGTCTGTGTGCATGTTTATGTTTGATCGTCTGCGAGCAGCGAGCAGGGCGTATTTTCAGCTATTTGGATCGAGCGTTGCTTCTATATAAAATTCGTAATCGCTCCCTTATATATGCAAGGTATATGCTGTGCTCTGGAATGTAAAAGGTATATTTCAGTCGGTGTACTCCAGGAAATTCTTTTGGATAGGCCAATAAGATATAATGGTAAGAAAAAGGGTTAGATGCTATACATGTATATTCAAGAAGAGCAATAATTTAGAATTGCTTCACGAAAGTCTTAGACCCATAATCCATCTCTCGATTTTTCTTTTCTTTTAGACGTGGGGTATCGTTATCATCACGTGATGATAGCACTATAATAATGATGGTTGACAAGTAGGTCACAACCACAACACAGAACTGGCTAGGTTGCACCACAATTCTAGGGGTATCTGGACTATGGATGAGGCAGAGCACTCGCAACTTATGTACGCTACAATTCCAGCTATTCTGCGTCCGATTGTACCATGTCCAAGTGCTACTTACTACAATACGGTGCCAGGACATGACGTACCTTGAGCCCCAAGGATGGTATATAATAATGTTGGCAACTTGTGTCTAATAATAACATCGAAAAATTGTACGCATGGCCAATTGACCAGTTGACCACGCTTCGAGATAATCCAGCGAGGAGGACTCACATCACCTGAACAGAACATTTTTAGTCTTCTAACCAGGGGAATGCCAAGAATAATCCGAGAGCTTACAGTGCAATTCTCGTCCAGAACAATGGTCGCGCCCTCGCCCGCTCCGTCCACCAATGCACCCCCAACAGTCTGTCTTTGCCGTAATGTAGCAGCTAACTGAGCCAGCATACTCCTCTGAGAATGACGGTGTCAGATTATGAAGGAAGGGTAAAATTCCAAGAACGAAGGAGCAGATGCCTTACCGTGATGTACGCCTCGCTCATGCCTCCTTGACGATCGACGTCGTTCTGGCTCATGATCCGGTAGCTGTCATGGATGCGTTTGCAACTTTTGAGGCCGCCAATACCGGCAACATTCGCACCAAGCGTGTTGGCCGGGTTATCGGGGTCTAGGATGTTGAGACCACGACGTGCATTCTCCTGTGCATGGCGATCGGGTGAGAAGATCTTGATAGTGTTGTCGATCCCAGAAGCGGCGATGGTCGGTTCGTACGGGTGTCCTTATAAACAAGCGTGAGATAATGGCGTATATGTGGTCAAAATGGACATACCTTGCACAACATTGACAACTTCGCTATCTGCCTCGAGTATGTTGACGAGGTTCGCTGTTTTCCGATCCCAAATGAATATATGACCCGAGTCACTGCCGCTCACGACGTACTCATCATTCAGCCCAAAGTAATTGACGTCTTTGACTGTTTTGATATTGCAATGCCCCCGATAGACTTTAGTATGGGAGGAACAAGGCACGTCCAGTTCGACATCCTCTCTTCGCGTTCGCCGGAAACCATATCTGTTGATGAGATGCTCCTCGGCTTCGTCCTCATTCTCCTCCTCGTCAGAAGAATCACCGAGTTCCATGTCGAAGTCTCCTTCATCCTCGTCCTCTCCTTCATCTTCGCCTTCGTCTTCTGTTGATACATCGGAGCCATCCTCGCTCACAACCGCCGCATCGCCGTGCTCAATGGAGCCCCCATCTCTAACAGCCGACCTGCCGTTAGTGGACCTCGTCCGCAGTCCACTCGGGTTGGGGGTCCGTGAGTCTCCATTCATAAAGGCACCAGAAGTCACGAGGTGCACGTCTTGGATTGGCTCCTCCTCGACGCTGCCGTCGATATCCTCTTGCAGCCTCTCTTGCGGAAGCTCACTGTCCGAGTTATCTTCAATTTCTGTTCGCAGCCCGCCAAAGGCCCGGTTCACAAAGGCGTAGTTGACTCCAATACCCGTCTCCATCAAGATACCTCGACCTACCTTGAGAACCCAGAACCTGGTTGCCGAAGCCCGGTCAAGAGATCGAACTTGATGTGCTGTCCCACCATCACCATTAATCCTGGCTGCAACATGTCGCAAATCCTCCAGTGGCAACTTCAAGGCATTTGCAAAGGCGGCAACTGCAGCATGTTGTGTCGGGAACAGTGTGCGAGTGCTGTCATGCTCAAACCTCGATGCATCGACATTCACCACCGGATAGTCCCCTGCCAAGCTTTGAAGATAAGGAACCAGGACCGATTCGATAGCACTGTCGTCAGCTGTTTCAGGAATCGGATACCGCGCCAGGTTACGCCTGTGAAAGGGATTGCTCTTGAACCCAGCCAATACAGCGGCCCTTCCTCCTTCGAAGAACAGTAAAATAGCTTTGACAAAGTCATAGCCAAATTGCTCTTTCGTGTCAATCACGTTATTTTCACCGGGTGCAGGTACTATCTGCTGGAATAGGTTCATCCCCGAATCTTCATTTTCGGAAAATCTTTGGATCTCACCTCCCAGAAACCGTGCAAGTGTTCCTGCAGCTTGGACGAATCTCCAGGCAGATTCCCGATTACGACGAAGAGATTGCTGAAAGCCCACAACCTCTGGACTCGGATCGAGAGGATATCTCCATGTCCGCATGACTTCTCCCATTCGGGGCAGATGCTCCGCCGCATCTGTCAACACGGTAGAAAATGAGGCAGTGTACGGCGTCAGGTCGGATGGGCTTGAGGCCTCGGTGGCTTCGCGCACCGATGCTTCCAAGGAGAAGAGGGCCTTGCGGAGCTTGACAAGTCCTTTGGCGATACGCATACTCAGCCGCTGTGCCTCGTTCAGAACCGAATACTGCGCCTGCTCCAACACATTTGGCGGAGCGCTCGACACCGTTTCGGATAGCGAAGGGAACGGGATATCCTCCATCTCTCCATTGCCATAGCGGACTCTGAAGGCTAGCTCACCGCTATCATCGTGTTCCGATCGCCGACGCGATTGATGGCGGTTGCCGCTAGACTGTGACGACAGCGAAGCTCCCTTTTGCCGTTTACGTTTTCTGTTCTTTGAGCTTCGATGTCTACGTGAACTAGGACTTCCATGCATGGACTTCGGAGCCGCTGACGCCGGGTCGTTCGCATCCGGACTCCGAACTAGATCAAAACTGTATATATGGTCTCCGGACCAGCTGACAACCATCTCGTTCGGATTGGCGTCGCTGATTTTACAAGCGGTGATATGGCCATTATCCCGTGGGCTCATTCGTCTCTTACCGCCTGGGGCAAACCTCCGAACACATCTCGTCGCTTGCCCCATGAGTTCATCATCATGCTGGCTACCACTGTCGGAAAGCCCTCCGGGATGGCCCTTTTCCGCAAGAAGATCCCGTCCAAGCATTCGCCGGTCGTGCAAGAAGCAATGTAAATGGGCGCCGCCCAGCGCGATGTAATGCGGTTGACTCGACGAGCACGAGATGGTGTTGAGATCCAGATGGTACTGTTTATACGAAATCAGCGGAGGAGGCACATTCGAATCGTCATGCTCCAGACCCGGCCGATACGCCATGAAGCCCTGTCCCCCGCGCGGCTGCGGATAGGCCGAAGAGGGCTGGCGCAAATCCCACTGACGCACCTCGCCATCCTCCGAACACGTGAGAAAGAGGTACGGAGAGGACTCGGTGACAATCCTCTTGACCCGATCCGCGTGGCTCCGATAGACTCTGCAATTGGTGTTTCTTTCATTCAAATAGCGCGCATTGCCAAAGAAATTGTTGAAGCGACGGCTGCGGGCCGACGCAGAAAAGGCAGACGTGGCAGCGACATTACTGTTACCTGCGGAATACTCGATGTCGAAGACGCGCACTTGAGAATCACCGGCGCAAGTCACCAGCGTGCGATCATTCGAATGGGGCATGAACTTGGCGGAGAAAATGTTCGCCTTGTGGCCGGTGTAAACGGTGGTGTTGAGCGTAAAGGGTGCGGACGAGGATTCCGGCTGGTACGAATAGATGTTGAGATGCAGATCGTCCGAACCCGAGGCCAACAGTTGACCAGATCGCGACCAACTACCGCCGAACACAAGAGACCTTGTCAGAGAAAGAAGTCCATGGTTAGTGGTCTCGCAGCTAGCACATACCATAACGCATTGACGCAACCCGTGTGGCCTCCCAGCTCATTTACAATATCCAAATCGTCAATCCATTCCTTGGAGCCATATATACCACGAATACTCGTCGAAGGCGAAGTGTAGCCCGACTCCCGGCGCCAGATGCGATCATACAGTGAGTCCTTCATGGTTGGCGTCGATGCAGGAGCTAGGGCCAGATATTCGATCTAAATGGGGGGCGGGTGTTCTAGTCTCCTGGCGTGTGGACTGTGGACCATCTCGACCCGGCGATCACAGCTTCTGTTTCTTCTGTTCTGTGCCGTCGGATCCTTTTGGGGGTAAAGTGACGTCAGTCTCGGCGATAGACAGTTGGTCCAGGAAAGAATGCGGTCGATAAGAGATGAAGCAGGTAAGAAAACAAGGAAGAAGGAGATCTGGGGAAGAGAAAAATGCAGAAGCAAGATCTGATGAAGCTAATCTCGCGGAGATCGAGTCGATAAGGGTGGGTTGGGGAATGAGAGCGAAGAGAGGGAAAGTAGAGGCGAGTAAAAGAGGTCGGTGGAATAGATAGAAACCAAGAGAAGAACAAATGGATAGAACCGAAAGAGGGGGCTTGAGGCTTGATCAACTATTAAGCCAGATAGATCCATCGATTCGTTCCAGATCCAGACTCAAAAACCCACCGAACTACTTATTCTCCATGTAATGGTTGCGTCGAAGCAACTCTCGTGGGTACTGTCGCTGGATCCATTATTCTTCTGGGGACCACCTCTACGGTACTTACATCTGACAAGTAATAAATATAGCCTTTTGTTTGCCAATCACTGCTTAACATTGTCTCGGCAAGAATCACTTCCTCTTTTGCTGTTGCTTTTCTCTCTTCAATCACCTGCGACAGAATGCCATCTTCTTACTTTAGTCTAACGCTTCAGCACAAGTTTCTTTGAAATGTGATACCCGAGTCGGACCCGACGACGATGATCATGCCGGCAGGGACTCCACCGCTTAGTCAAAAACGCAAATCCGCCTGTCACCGTTCTCTGATGCGGTTTGAAGCGCTCTGAATGGCCTGCAGATTGCAGGAAATCCAGGAATCTAGATGTCTGTATCCTGTTGGGGCTGTCTGCTACCCTGCCTAATAATAGGCAGTAGATATATAGTACTACTACTAGCAAGACTAGGGAAGATACTTTAGCTTGCTTACTGCTTAAAGTATGTTTATGCTTTTCCCTGAGAGAGAGACTGTTCGCTGATTATCCTCGTTTTCTCAGCTTCTACCGGTTTACTTTTGTTCATAATGATGATACGTTTTTAGCACCTTGGGGATACTCGTGACAAAACACTGTCATTCCATGCTCATCATTGCATCAACTCATCAACGTCCATTCTACAGAAAATCCTGATCGGAAAGGCGATGGCGATCTCAGACACAAAACAGGTCTAAGAATTACCCTGGCAGAATCCCGGACACTGCAATGCAAAGTCCTGTTTTCCGCACCGCGCAAGTTCAGGTTTCACTGGCTGATTGCTATCATTTTTATGGAGAACAAAGGCAACCTTCGAGTCTTCCGGTACCTCTCAGGCGGCCCCTCCACCGTCCGAATTCCGAGACTTGCATAGTTGGAAAAGAACCAAGGCAGTAGAGTGCATGATCGACCCAAAAAGAGGACTACTTTCGTGAAGTGCGGCGATTCGTTCAAATCAAGGCATACTAGCCCGAATATCAACCCGCAACCCATTGCTCTGATCAGGATTTTCATGGATCCTGTTGAGAACAGTTGGCGGGCTAAGGAAAGGATGGGGAGAGAGGGGAAAAAAAGGGAAAAGAATAAAATAATCAGGTGTGAGCACTCTACGGAATGCAGATGGGTTGGAATCATGGATCAGACGAGGAACAGGTTTTCCCGTCCCTGTCGATGACACTTTCTCGTACCGACATACGGCGTTTCTGGATGCATTGAACGTGTCATTGTGAAAGCCTTTTGCCCGAGTTTTCTGTCGGTGGGCCTGCTCTAGACAGCTCTTCTTTGACTGGTTTCTCTAGCTGCTTGCTGTTTTGCCCGTCTTCTCTCTTTTCTATCCCTTTCCTAGCGACTGGTGTGCAGTCTAGCGTCAAACCTACCTACGTATGGGCTATGGTCAAATTTCAGTTCTTTGCCAGTAGACGGCTGCAGTGGAGGGCCTACTGAACGTCGTGCCTTTGGTACTCACACTCTGCGAGCGATAGATATTCCGTGGGTTCCATGGTCGATCCATCAGATAAATCCAAATAGTTATCGTCTATGACCTCAACAGCGCAGTTCTCCACATTCCAGGCCTCGGGCCCCTCGCATCTCGCGGGTGGGTTGCAGCCAATTCGGCTGTGAGCTGACTAACCCACTGCCTCTCCGACCTTACAATCTGCGCTTCGATCCTACGTATCGCTTTCAACTCGTCCACCATCGAAGCGATCATCACGTCTAGTCCCTTGGCTGTGCGCACAAGTGCAGCATCAGCTAGTGCTTGCTCTGGTCCGTCGTAGCCCGCAATATCCAGGCTCTGCAGCTGCCTCGAGCTCTGTTCAAGCCTCATAGTCATGGCGTGCACCTCGTTCTTCCATACGCGATCGATCGGATCAATGAAAACCACATGGCTCGCATCTCCCTGTTGTCGATGAAGTCGCATGCTCTCGATCGCTTGCGCTTTCCGGAACCATTCCTCGAATTCCTGGACAAGCATCGTATACCTCCCTCCGAGACTGTCGGTCCAATCACACACTTCCTGCACGAGCTGCGAAAAGGCCTGGATCTGCGCGGCGAAGTTCGGACGGCCACCATGTTCGCTGGCATTCTCTAGCCAGCGATTCAAGGCCTGTCCATTCAGCAACCGCTGGCACTTCTTTTCTTCCCCAACAATCGCGCGATACGTCTTCGCGACCGCGTCATACTTTGCCTGTAGCTGTCCCTCCGACTCGGCCTCCAGTTCCGCCATCTGCTGTCGTGACGACGGATGTAGCAAGCTCAATTGTAGTAACTCCGTTTGAAGCGCCGCAATCTCCGGCCATGACGCCGGAATCAATGAATCATCCCCATCCGCGGACGCCCTGGCAGCCGACACAGCCGCCGGTCTCACCACCTTCCTCGGCGAGAACTGCTGCTGATACGTCGTAAACTGCCCACTCGATCTCGACCCAGCCGCCAACCCTGCCGTCGTAGACGTCGACCCAGAAGACTGCGAGTCGCTCCTCTTCGAAACCTGACCCTGACTCGACAACGGCGCTACAATCTGGCTCTGGTGCCGTACATGCCTAACCCCAGTGGCCGGGGTCCCGGAACCTGCGCCAGCACCCGCTTTCAAAGGCTGTCTCATCGAAGCCGACCGGGTCGGCCGTGCCGGCGGCGGCATATCCGTTTTCTTCGGGGACATTGACGAGACTCCGTCCCGTTTCCTGGGCGAGGTCGACAATCCCTGCGCGCTGAACGTCGCGCTCTTCGGCGTTGTAGCAATCCTCCCGCCCAAGTTCGTTCCCGTCCCTGTCCTTGCGCCTGCGCCTGTAGCTGTAGCTGTCCCCGTCTTCAACGGGCTAGGTCGTATCAAACTTCGTCGTCGAGCGTTTGCCGCTGTAGCTGTAGATGTCGTGCTGGACTCCGAAGAACCCTCCTCCTGCTGCTTCTGTGCTCCCGGAGTCTTCGTCAATATCCGACTCCCCCGCTGTAACCGTGTCTCCACCTGCTGCAGCTGCCGCACCGGAGCCGCACCATCACGATCTCGATCACGAACGGGATTACTGCGCTGAGGAAGGAGACTCTTCCTGCGATCGGTCGTGCTCGTGCTCGCGCTTGTGCTTGAGTGGGTGTCTGCGGATCCATCGCCATCGCCCTCTGACGGGGTTTTGCTCGCTGCTGTGCGTCCTGCGGTGGACTGGTGATAGTAAGTAAGTTATTCCAGCCAGTATCGATGCGGTAAGAAAACAAAACCGAGAGACTGGGTTCGGTTTGGACTGACTGTGTAGCCGGTTGGATGGGGGATTGGCTCTGGTTCGCAGCACTAACCTGTTTGCTTTGTCCGCGGAGGGAGAGGGAGCGCGTGGGGATTGGCATGGTTGTGGTCGGTTTAGATTATTTGCATCGTTCTTCTGAATGATGGGGTCAACGTGAGTGTGTATCTGGTTCTGAGCAGGGTACGTAAAGGATTTAGAGAACGAGGTAGATCAGGAGTGACGCAGCTTCGTGCGGTGATGGTATGTAAACACTAACAATGAACGAAGCTTGGCGGAGACGATCTCCACGAGTTGTATTTGTCCGTACTGATACTTGGAGCCAATGGACATGCTCATGGATGGATGCTTTCATTTATTCATTTAATTACGGCAAGGTTTGTGCATACAGTAATTCATAAACGTTCAATGTTCTTAGCTACGCATTTCACGACCCTAACAGCCGTCTACGTAGACTTTTCTGTCGCCTTAACTTCTGTTACATGAAGACCAAGGCCATTCGACGACCTCATACTGAATTGAGAATGAACACATTATAAAAATGATCTCGGTTCAAAGTCACTGTCCCTGCACTAATCCAATTTCTAGGCCGTAACGCCAGCCAGGAAACCTAGAAGACTCGTGTAAAAGGTAGAGGTACTTTTCGCCTTTGACTGTTCTCAAAAGCAAAAATAGCAAATAGAACATAACGCCATTCATAGGTCCACAACAGCTTACAAGCTTCCACGTCTGGGGAATGAAACCCCATCAATGGCAGCATGATCGGTGAACCAGCTCACTTTTTCCCCACCACTCTGGTTGACGAGCGCCGAGGGCAGGTCCCGTCCCTCTTCCGCATCGAAAATCTGCTTGAGGATCTCCTTCTTTCCTGCTCCAGTGGCGACGAAAGCAATACTGACGGCATGTGTAACGACAGGCAATGTGAGGGTTATGCGCTTTGGTGGGGGCTTGGGCGAGTTGGTCTCCGCGGCCACCCAGGCATCCTTCTCTCGCAACAGTTCATGGCCGGGGAAGAGACTGCAGGTGTGACCATCGGGACCGCAACCCAAAAGAATGAGATCAAAGACAGGCAGCTTGACACTGTCCTTGGCCGCGAACGAGCGCATCAAGTCCTCCTGGTACAGGTCGGCAAGCTCCTGCGTGTCATCGTTGACATGGTCGGCGTCGATGGGATGCACTTTAGGAGTGCCCATTTCAGCGGGAATCTTGCTTAGAAGCTCATCCTTGAGCAGGCGGTAGTTGCTATCAGGGTGGTCAAGAGGGACAGCACGTTCGTCGGCGAAGAAAACGTCCCATTTATCGAACCGAACAGTGTCCTCTGGAGTACCGTTCGAAGGCGCGAGAAGAGCCTTGGCGAGTACTTGTGGTAGAGAACCGCCCGATACAGCGACACGGAAAGTGTTATGGCGATTAATGGCGGAGTTTTGACACCGGAGCACATAGGCCCTCAGCTGCGGGGCCAAAGCGTCGGTGTTGGGAAAGCTGTAGAGATTCGGGGATGTGCCGGTCATGGTGTAAATTCGTCGCTTTGACAATGCGCCAGGTTCGTAGGACAAGGATATGCTGCAGCCTCTCAGGAAGGTTTTTGAGACTTTGTTTGTGACGTGCGTGTGAAGTCGGGAGCACGAGCGAGTTGTTGGCAGATTTTCGGTCAACCGTGCTCTGGCGGGGTAGGTACAGGAGCGGGACAGGTTGAGTTATCCCACCAAGGACGAATCAAGCAGACGGCTTGCAGCAGGCTCTGGTTTCATATAGCTCAAACTGTGAACTCGCAGTAGTGTGCTACCTAGGTGATGTTGCGATCGAAGGGGAAAGAAGCTCCAATGCGAGTCTGTGGTTGGGCGATTCGAGGTAGCACTCTCGATGGTGGGCTGCTCGCAGTTCTGAATGTTTCCATGACGTCGGCATGATTCCAGGGGAAACCACACCCAACTTGTCCAGTTGCTAAGAGAGAGGATGATATCGGATGAAGCTGGAGACCAAGCAAGACACTCTCGAAGCCCAACAGTAATGCTCTCTCGCCTCTCAGGCCTATCTATAACCATTGACTGTCCAGAAAATGTGTTGGTCATCGCGAATCGCGGGTAGTTTGTCCATAGTCAACACGATTATTTAACCAGCACATGTGAGATGATGTCACAGCAGCAGCGTTGTATCCCCTCAAGTCGGCTTCCAGATACGGAAGAGTCCGACAATTAGATGGGTATAATCTCGCAAAGCAACATCACTCCCCCGAACTCAAGACCGTTAGGCACGCATCATCCCAGCCATAGAGGTTTCCAGTCATTGGTCAAGATAAGTGAACTTCCACAGTATCGAAACTATTTACCTTTCCACCCCCCCTGCATGCCGCCCTGTTGCAAAAGGAAGACCTTCTCAAGGTTACACTATTACGACGCCTTGCAGATGCTGCAGATGGAAATCTCGCAGCTACTCCGGACAGCCTTACATTTATTTGTGGACTGTCGACTCTAGTGGAATCTTCTGTAAAGAGCTGGCTGTACTTGGAAGTTCGACCGACCACTTCAAAATGAATATACTAAGAAAGCGGCCCGTTCTCAAGTTAATCTAGTGACGGACGTAGACACAGGAGCGGCAGAACGGAAGAACCGGGCCCTGTATCCTGCAAAGAACAATGCACTCCATAGTCGGGAGGATTTGTTCGAGACGCGATTGTGTACGCCAGCACAAGATGGTTCGGCAGTCGGATGATTCTCGGCAAGGTCTCATGTTCGGATTGGTGAGATGTCGCAAGATGAGAGGCGACAAGGCCTGTCTAATCAGGTACCGAAGATATACCTGGCCCTTTGGAGCCAGCTGTTATGGCAGGTATTCGATCGAAATCGCGTTGTATGTTGCCCGATTGCCCCATTGCTAGCATGGATCTCTCGGAAATCGGATAGATGGCAGAAAATCACTCAACAGAGGGATCACTTCTCTAAATTGCCTCATACCAGGCTATCCTGGCTCTGTTCATCTATAGTTTGTAAAATCAATGCTGTTAACCAAGCGTCTCCTCTACTAGTACTATTGATAGATTCCTACTCCATAACCCAAATTTGGAGTCAGGGACAATCCAAATCTACGGAGTACTCCCCTCAGTCCCCTGCAGTTCAACTAGTTTCAGAGCTGGTCGCAGTCCTAACTCCAAATAGACAAGCGATGAGGGATGCTGAATCAAAAATTCTGAAAGTGGTCTAGCTGAACTCCGGGACACTGAAAGAGACATTTCATAACAGCTGGTCAAAGCAAATCTTTGTCCAAATCGAGTAAAAGCTCACCATTCCCTCGACTTTGTTAGGGAGACAAAGGCCATGTGGTCGGGGTGAGTCCAACTGGGATAAAGTACTGGACTACTGGTAATCCTGACATCTCCGAGATATCTATACAGATGGATTCAGAAATAATATGATATGGGCCTCGGAAGTAGCTCCCGTCACTCATGAGGAATGATAGACAGTAATGATCAGCCACTGACGGGCTGACAACGACTCAGGCTCGCTCCAGCAAGTATTCAGCTCATGTCAGACGAGATTCTGAAACGCCGGAGTGGGTACTCTGAAGCCCGAAGGACTCAAAAGGAATGCAGCATAGCCGCAGTTATTTTACTAGCCTTTTCTCAGTAGCGAGTAGCGGAGTATCTGGTATCGGCTACATGTTGCTGACCTTTATATCCCAGCACAAAAGAGGCTATTAGGGTCCATACGAACTTACAAAGCCAAATTAGCCAAATTACGGGTCAAAAGTCCCCTACTGTGCGTAGGAAGAAATATCCAGGCCGTCATGCTTGCAAGTCTGGAAGATAGTTCCCATCCTTCAACCAATCATACCGGATGGACATCTACGGTAGTCCGAGCCATGGAACATCGGCATCCTTACAGCGACGAAGGTACATGGATCTGGCTGAACGAGCCACTTACAAGCCATAGACAGCCACGCTCAGTAGCCGCTCCGTAGCCTTAGTTCGAGATATTATGTGAGAATTGAGATTTGAAAACAATTATTATTATCTCTGGCGCTCCTTTGTGCTGCGGTGGGACTTGTCTCAAGTAGTACTACTAGAGCGTCAATAGTTTGATTACTACTCCGTATGTATAGTCACTAGGCCTTTTTGAGCATCTAGTATTTTCTATTTTCCTGCACTCTGCAGTTTTGTCAATCGCTGGAGTCACTCACATAGAAGTGGGACGATCGAATTGAATCAGTGGCTGACGAAATAAATGAGTTTAATCTATAAACCTGGTCGAGGCAGGTCATGACGACATGAACGTCGTGCCTCGGAGGTTCATGGGAGATTTCTATTGGGGGGTTGTGCGGGATAACCGTTGTAAAGAAATATGCAGACACATGGAACGATCCCAGAAAAGGATTGGTTCCGATGCCATCTCTGTACCTAAACTTCTAAAGTAGGTAGACTGTATATTTGGGCGTTTTCATTGGCGAGGAGTAACCCGCCAGTCAACGAACGGCTCTGGTTCTGCGGTGCGACAACAAGTTCCAGGGCAGCCTTAAGTTAGGCTAATCGATCACAGCACTCGATGACAATAATAATGATGGTATGATGGCAATAATAATAATATGCATTGGTTCTATCGAGAGTGGTGTGGTAGCTATGTATCCTGATGTACCAAGTCAACACCTTTATTTTCTTCGATCATAAAAGAATAAACAACAATGCCAGTATTGATCTAGAATCTGCTAGTCTGCCCTCCACAGTTCCAGTACTTATCAACATCCATCCACACTCTTCACTCAGAGCAGGTATTTTGTACTACATACTATTTACCTACTGCATCATGATGCTCACTATCATCATACTCTGATATCCGCATCATCATTCCAATTGACAACCATCACCGTCCATATTAAGGGCTAATTCTTCAGACCTCCAAAGCTTGGATTTATTGATTACATGGGCACCGTCTGAAACCGAAGCCATACTCCATTGCAAACAACTTTACTCCGTACTATATCATTGACCCAATTGGGGATTGATTGCTGCACTTTTCTCCTTTCTTTCAGAGTCGAAATTCTTTGTTCCCTCTTCTTCTACTAGGACTAGCTGGAAGAAAACAAAAGGGAGGCGGATAAAAAAAAAAAAAG